TAATGTGGTTTTTCTTCAATGTTTTGTGCAGCATTGTTTTTGTCCCTCTAGACAATATTTTAGAATATTGTCACTCAAACAATACGTCCATTAATGAATCATTTAACAACACAAACTTCTAGAAAATGAGGAATGCTTTTGATTTTCTCTCCTCGTCTTATGTGTGTAAATATATTTAGTCTTGAGTAGAACCAGACCGATAAATCAGCCAGCAGCAGAAGAAGATATATTTTATTAATCCAGCGAGAGGGAATTCAGTTTTACACTCTGTTATTGAGACATGCTGCACACACACAGGGTGAAATACACACACATGCACAAACATGATGCTATGGACTAATGCAGTAATGGAGAGGTGTCAGGGTGAGGGGGGCTGCCTACAGCGAGTGCACCTGAGCTGGTGGGGGGGTTCTTTGCCTTACTCAAGGGCAGCTTGGCAGTGCTCAGAAAGTGAACTGACACCTTTACAGCTACCAGAACAATATCCAGATTTAGTCCCCACCAGGACTTGAACCAGCAACCAGTCCCTACAGACTGGGCTACTGCCGCCTATTTATTAGTAAATATTAGCATATCATGTCTTCTATATGCTGATATGATTTATTCAAGTTAAGTTCATTATTTAGTTTCATTGGGCTTTCAGTGAGAACATGTTATTGAACTTTTGGATGTTACAGAATCAGTCGTATCCTGGATTTCTCTGTGTTCTCTGACTTTTGTTGCGTTGTTTTTAATTTATGTTTTTACTGTTGTCGTGACTTGTGTAACATTCAGATATATTGGTGTGAATGTGCTAATTGTATTTGTTAGAATGTAAACGGTGCAGAGAGGGAAGAGGAAACAAACAAACAAACAAACTCGTCAAACACAGTGAATGATGAAGGTTTAACCTGAACGTTTCACGGCCTCAGTGTCTATGAGGTCACATCTCTAGAACTGAAGGGAACAGCCTAACGTGAACGTCACTCTCCTGTTTTCACACTCCAGATGTGAAGCCTCGATGCAGCTCTGTGACATGACGAGCGCTGAACCAGGAGACATTGATTTAAACAAGTGCACCCAGAGCTCAGAGACACAGGCTTTATTGTTACACTGTATGTCCATGAATGGCAGTAATGTTACAGTACAGACCGGTGTTTCACACTGTGAACCCTGCAGCCACAATCTGTCTCTGTCTCTGCATTTTAAATATATACACACACACACACACACACACACACACACACACACACACACCCTTTGCTGTCATATGAGTGCTTTATACCCTCGGCCTCGGACGTCGTTGTGTAACCTGTCTTTGTGGCTTCTTGGCCCATTAGAGCATTAAGTGGACTTCAGACCTGTTACGTAAAGGGTCTCTCTGTGACTTTTCCCTCTTTACTCCACAACACTGGAGGGAATACTGTAAGCAGAGGCCGTGTCACCATCACAAGCCTTTATATCACTGATACTTTTCACAGTTTAGTGAGATGACATTTAATGCCTTCGTTTTGGATAAATACAAACTGAACTGTTAACGCCTGGCAGCTCATCAAAGTTGAAGTCGAAGAGTATGAAGTGTGAAAATATGTTAAATCATTTGTAAATGTCAGATGTCGTTATTGATATTCACAAAGATTTGGAAGAAAAGACAGAAAGTAGCAGCATGCTAACAAGCTAAACTAAGATGGACAGAGTTTAATCATTCTCATCACTTGGACGGCACTACAGTCAATTCCCTGTGTACTACACAGTTAGGGCTTTGACACCTGCAGAAAACTCCTGAAAAACTCCTGATATTTGCAGAAGGAGCTGTATGTGTGAATGCAAACAGCCAAATTTTAGCCAAAAAGCAAGTCAGAGGAAGCTGATATGAGAACGCAGCAGGTTATTCTGTGGAGAATTCACCTCGAGCCAATAGGAGGGGGAAGTGACATTTATTACTTGCATTCAGTGCACAGCCATAGACCGTAGGCTATGCACACGACCACTTCTGCCTCATGTTTTTAATGTCATGTTTTACCTCATGGAGACGCCACCGGCCCCCCTCCCATCTGACAGGGAAAGTCTCCAGCTGTTAGGAGCATATGTGAACAGCCAGGTCAGGAGAATATCCAGAGCTGTCCTCCTGAAATGATCTAGATATTTCCTTTTAAAAACGGCTAGTGAGTGGGACAGACAGACACAGCCTCTGTCTTAGGTTTATTCATCAGTTGTACCAACAGAAAAAAACCAGAGAGGAAGAAATTCATGGTAAAAACAAGACTCATAAGTCCTCTGAATATTTGCCTGTAGTTGTTCATCGTTTCACTCCCACATTCTCCTCCATGAGAACATTTGAGGTCAGAACACAGATGTCACTAATAAGCATCAGTCTATGTTCATGCTCTCAGTGTAACACATTATTAAAACATGTTAAATCAGTGGTCCTGTCCCTGCCTCATGCATTACATTTAACACCATCACAGAGTCTCACACTGTGTTTTAATGCTGCCAGTTATTGATTTGATGTCCGTCCATAAGACTTGGACTACACATTGTTCTAACGAGTCTGCGCTCTCACAGGCCGACCTCGTCTCCTCTGTCCACTCTAAGAGCTGTTTCCTAATATAGAGCTGTCCTGCACTAACAAACAGAACACAAAGTTTCTACTGAGCTCGGCTGCATTCGCATGTCTCTCTCGGTGATGTCACTGAGTTGTGCTGTGTTGTAAAGTTTACTTTGTTTGTGACTGAACTGGAGCCACAGGGGACACCCGATGGGTGTCATCTGACTGGCCCAAGCCAGAGAGCTGCCTGTTCTCCATCTGTAATCAGCTGCAGAATCACGACATGTTGTTGCAAAGGAGGGATGACAATGAACAAAATGTGACTCTTCAAATGCTCACATGTGATGTGTAGGGGTAAATATTTTCTTTTTCTTTTTTTTATATTAATGTGATACTAGTTATTCTTTTAAAGAATAAACTTGTTATGTTTTCATAAAGATTTACAAGCCAAGCGCTGCTGCCTCACAGCGAGAAGGTTCCTGGTTTTATTCCCGTCTGACAGGAGCTTCTCTGTGTGGAGTTTGCATGTTCTCCCTGTGTATGTGTGGGTTCTCTCCGGGTATTCCAGCTTCCTCCCACAGTCCAAAGACATGCTCGTTATGTTAACTAGTAACTCTAAATTGCTCATATGTGTGAATGTGAGTGTGTTTGTCTCTATATGTGTAAGATCTTTTACCTGTTCTTTTGTAAAGCGTCTCAAGGTAACATTTGTTATGAATTGGCGCTATAGGTGTGAATATGAACGCTAATCAAATAATGTTTGATTGAAGTCAGCCCTGTGATGACTGTCCAACAGTCCAGGGTGTACCCGGCCTCTCACCGGCCTCTCACCCAATGACAGCTGGGATCAGTGTCCTGCGACCCCAAATGGGAAAAGAGGCGAAATGCAACTCATCTTTCCTCCAACATATGAATTATTCTTTGGTGAAGTCAGCTCAAACAAACATTTTTAAACATTTAAAATCTCACTTTAGAAAAACCTACAAAATGAGCTCTGTTTCTGGCTTTCCATTAAGATCTTTTTCTGCTTTTCTTTGTGTGATTTGTTTAGAAAACTCAGCATGTGTAGTCTGATATGTTGGAAAAAGACAAGAAATTGTCTCTTGTTAAAGGTTCGATGGAACAACTAACAGAATGATAAAGAAATGAATCATGAAATGTATTCATCTTTACAGTTTGTGTTAGTTGCAGCCTTCACACAGTGGAAATATCAGTGATCAGCAGTTTCTGTCGCTGGAACATATGGCTGTTTGCTGCACATTAATAAATGAGTAATGGGGAGGGACTTCAGGGAACTGCAGAGAAATAAGCAGTGTAAAGGAGGCAGGGAAAGTGAAGCAGTGTGATATATGATGTTAAAGGACTTTTTATATGTACCTGACATTAAGATTTGTGTTGTCGTCATGCATGCTGTTTGAACATGATCAGGCTGATACAGAGCTCGCGCTGCAGGCACAGCCGTTCTGCTGACCTTCTTCAGAACTGCTGCGTGAGGACTTCTGAGTTTCACACCATCAGACTGTGGTGCAGACCTCCTCCCACCTACAGTACAACCCCCCCCCCCCCCCCCCCCCGACATGCTCTGCTCTACTGTACTAATGCACCAATTCATTGTACATCTTCAAATCTGCCTAGATATTAACAAACAGACACACCACTGCTATGCAGTGACCCAAAGTGATCACTGATTTCTAAAGGAGTTGTCAGAGTTCGTCTGATATATCAGTCAGTCGATGTTATCAGCTGATAAAGGTTCTCAGAACAATAATACGGAGCAAAATGCTGAGGGGAATGAAAAATACAATTTTACAAATTACAATGTTATAATAGCATTTAGCAGTCCAAATTGAGAGGTTTATTTTTGGGCTTTGTATGCCTTATTTAGAGAGAGGACAGTGAATAGAGTCAGGAATCAGTAGAGAGGGAGTGGGTATGACAAGTGGAAAAGGAGCCCCACAGGTCAGATTTTAACCAGGGCGCCCCGCTTGGAGAACTGCAGCTGCAGTTCATGCACTTAGCACTACGCCACTGGACCACGATAAATCGTTTTTTTGGGTGGCAGAGCAAGCATCACGGTGGACGAGTCTCTGGTCGCGCTGCCCAGAATCGGATGAGTGTTTAATAATGTTATTTTGTTATTTGTTTGAAAAAGCAGCTTTCTGAGTTCCAATATTCAAAACTCTGCAAAATTGGTGCACAAAGAAAGCTCAGCTCAGTTGGTAGAGCAGGTGCTCCATATAGGCTATAGTCCTCTGGTCCCCCGGCCCCTGCTCTTTGATGCAAGTCTAACCCACTCTCTCTCTCTCCCCATATATTCTGTCTCTCTTCAGCTGTCCTATCAATAAAGGCAATAAAGCAGGAAAAAAATCTTCTTTGAAATAAATATAAGACACTTAGATATATCTTCAATCTTTACAATTAAGAATGTATGGATATATATATATATTTTTTACATTTTCTTTTTTCCACACAGCTCCGAGTACAAAGCTTACAGAGATGTGAAGCCGGCGAAGATGATCCGGGCCAAGTCCCAGTACCTCCCCCGGACGGAAAGACAAGTGGAGAGACTAGCTACAGCGCCACCTATAAGGGTCAGGCGCCGCTGCGGTCTTCTGACAACAAAGCCCTAGAGAGGAGGAGGATACGCAGTCTGTACAGCGAGCCTTACATAGACCCCATCAAACAGGTGAGAACACACATTTCTCACTGTGCACAGATGAATCCAGGGAGGGAGAAAACAAATACTGTAATGTTGTGAGGGTCTGGCTCACACTCATCTCATCACAGTTTAACGACTGGATTAGAGGAGGTCTAAGTTCAGGAATCTCATTTCCACTGTCTGACATCCTTAGGTTGACAGGTATAGTGCCCTGCGCACAAAACCCAAAAAGCCTGGAGCCGCTGCGGCAGGCCCGGGCAAACCAGCGAAGAAATCCAAAGATAAGCAGAGTGCCGCGCTGAGGGGCTCCAAGAAGACGACCTCGGAGAACCAAGCGGAGAACCGGCCGGCGGTGGGGGACAAGGAGAAAAGTAAAGAGATGAACAACAAACTGGCTGAGGCAAAAGAGTAAAAACCATTTAGCACTACTTCTCCTTTTACTTATTATTTTGGGGGAAAAACAAACAGAGGCTGCAAAATTATTTCAGAATCTTTTTTTTCCTCATCTTTCCCTCTGTTTCCCCTCCAGTCTCTTTCTTCTTCTTGTTCAGTCATTTCATTCTTCCTCTTCTTTCCTCTCTCACTACCTCTCTGCTGAGTTTGTACAGTAACAATATGATAACAATAATAAAATGTTGGGGTTAAGACATGACATGCTCCGCCCACCTCATGCTTTATCATCTCTCTATAGTAACGAGTAGGCGGGAGCATCGTCTTCCTCAGCGACTTGATGCGGCCTACCACCCCCCCCACCCTGCTCTGCTTGCCTCCATCTCCAGGTTGCCATGGCTACTGCCTTGTTAGCCAATGGATGGCTCTCGTTGCATGGGCTCAGAAGCCGAAAAAGCAATTCTGAAGTGTTGGCTTTGATCAACTGAGCAGATTGCTTTGTTGGCTTTATCAAGGTTTTTTTTTTTTTTTTTTTGGAGAAAAGATGATCAGATTGGCTTTTTGGATGTGATTTCTACATGTGCAAAAAATGATCAGCAAATCTGAAAATCTTTGATAAATGCTCCGCTTGGTTTGTCCATGGCTTGTATTGTTCCTGCTTTCTCATCTCTGCTACTGATCTCTGTTCATGGAGGAGCTCATGGGCTCAGAAGCGCGAAAAAGCAATTCTGAAGTGTTGGCTTTGATCAACTGAGCAGATTGCTTTGTGGCTTTATCAAGGTTTTTTTTTTTTTTTTTTTGGAGAAAAGATGATCAGATTGGCTTTTTGGATGTGATTTCTACATGTGCAAAAAATGATCAGCAAATCTGAAAATCTTTGATAAATGCTCCGCTTGGTTTGTCCATGGCTTGTATTGTTCCTGCTTTCTCATCTCTGCTACTGATCTCTGTTCATGGAGGAGCTCAAAGTGTGTGTTGGGCAATGTCATTATGCTTTGTTAAATGTGATTTTGTTCTCCAGTGTCTCATTGCTAAACTCTGTTGTAGGCTGCAAAAAAAAAGATTTTGTCAATTCATCTAAAGGGAAACACCCTGCTGTCCCATCCATTCATACAATGGTACTTTAATTCACTCTAAGCTATTTTGTAACTAAATTTGTTGCCAGCTCCCCATCTGGGTCCCACTCAACTGATTATGCAGAAACACTAGTCATTTGCAAAGCAGATGAGTGTTCCCACTGAACGAGACAACGCTGCTGTGCAGTCGTAGTTTCAGTGTAACATCGGAGTAACAACATTTCTCAGAATCAGAGAGGGATGAGTTCAGTGGAGCTGGACATGTTGTGTGGACCGGTTCAGGTTGTATCTAGTCTGCAGAGCTGTCAATCTGAATGACCATAATTCAGCATAATCACCCCCAACATAGTGAGAATTAACAACACTGAGCCCCCTGCAAAGCCTCACAGCAGTTATGCAATTTAAGGAGCTCACACTCAAACACAAACACACACATACAGACACACACACACACACGCTTTTGGCTTATTTTGAAATGCACTCTGCCGAGGGTGACCGTGACCGATGTGATTAGGCTGCAATGGGACGATAGCAGACGTCTGAATGTCTGCTTAATGGCTGTCTTTGCATCATCTTTAAAGAAGGAGCTGTGTGGTTGTAGCACTGATCCAAAGAAATGATCAACAATTCTCAACCATTTATCACATTTATTTACAACCAAAAAGAGTTTTTGATGTTTTCTTTTTTAAGGCCTTATCTGTTAGAAATCATGATAATGTCACGTGTATTTTTTGGTTGTTTGCTTGAAAAAGGATGTTTGTCAATACACTATCAACTTAAAGTCACCACAGAATTAACGACGCTTTTGTCATTACATTAAATAAAAACAAATCAGCAGTACAATCCTGTATATGATGACAAAAAAACATGTTTTTAAATTACCTTAAAGTGCTTCTGTGGCTGAAAATAAAATCATTAACTCGCGTCTGAATGCAAACCCTGCAGTGACTTTCATCTCCTGAGAATTGAGTAAACAACATAAACTGTTTCATTCTCCAGGTGTCTGAAAAAGACCTCCTTCATCCATCACAACTGCTGACAGTTATCGACCACAGAGCTCTCTATCATCATACCACTGAGAGTTAAACCCCCCCCCCCCAGTCTGCTAGCACCTCTTATTTCTTATTTTTTCACTCAGTCCAGCACTTCACTAAACTCCAACATCAGCCCAGATAAGTCTTGTATTTACCTGACTAGAGTTTAAATTCCTGCTTTTTATCCGCGTTGCAATAAAATGTAGATTTCCTCACCCATAGATGGAATAAAAACATGCAACCTGCAAATATTTAATAATGAAATCACAGCACAACACTGCGTCTCAAACGCTAACAGTGATACAGTGAGCTAAAAGAGACATAAACAGAAGCCATTTTCAAATGTGCACTCCTGAAAGTTTCAGGCAGGCTGCCCCTGAAATCTACCTGAGCAGGTTGTTCACACATGCACCTCACAGCAGGAGACTATCCCTGTCAGGAGAGGTGGGAGGCTAGACATTACGTAAAAAGAACGACAAGTATGTGGCTGAGTCCGTTATAAGACACTATCATGAGAACTTTTTGCCTTTATATCGATGACAAAAGCTTCTCTTGGTGTGCGCAGACGGCGTGCAACACAACCTCGAGGCCATCCGGCTCCCCACTGCCCTAAGTTCTGATGTCGTATCTTTGGTTTCAGCAGTAACTTTATTTCTTTTTTTCTTTATTTCCAAACCCTGTTGTTTACTTTATCCAGGCAGCAGTCACTAATAACCACAACCTAAATAGAAACTTAGTTTAGTTCTATACCAAACATAATTTATTTTTTAATATCTTTTAAACATGGCAATAAATCTGATTCTGATTTTGATTATTTGTACATCTTAGTATGGACACAGTGATGTCATAATCAGTGTAACTTTTTCTGTTTTGGACTCCACCATTCATCACTCTCTGTTTCTGAATCCATGTTGTTCTGTTTCTCTAAAAACCCTTGGGCTGGAAAAGTATGTTGGTTTGATATGTTGAAGAAAAAAAGGGAACATAAAGTAAGTTGTTTTGTATGTGTTTAAACCAATTATAAGCTCCCTTGTATATATAGCTTGTACCTGTCTATATGTCAAACAGGGCTACATCCAGTTATACTTTCTCTGAGTCTTGGCACATACATGTAGAAAGAGACGCCATATTCTCAAGCCTCTTCACCACTAGAAGAGCACTGTTCTGTCTTTTTATTTTTACATTGACTGTTTTCATGAGTTCTGCTTCTCAGCATCCGTCTCTCCATTTTGAATGGATGCCTAAACCTTCTCTATTTTCTGTGGTGTCTGAGAAAGCGAACATCTCCACAACCGCCATGTCTACCCAAGCTGAGCCCAATCAGGGATGCCTCAGTAGCATTTTGCAGCCTTTGGTCGGGGGACTCTTTGTCATATAACACGAGGGAGGAGGGGGCTTATAGGTGCAGTAAATGTAAACGGTGCTTAGCACACCACACACCCTGTGCTATCTTTGTGAGTAATAGGCCAATAAGGATAGAAAGTATGGTGAAGAAAGTTCTGTTTTGGGCAAAAAAAAAAAGAATTATTGACTGTGACGTGCTTGTGTTTCTATCTGCTTGCTCATATTTAATGAACAAATAAATGCAAAAAGCAGAAAAAGTGTCTACTTGCTTTTTTTTTTTTTTAAAGATTAGAGGTTGCAGGTATCTGTCAGCATTTCTCCTTCCTGTCCCAGTCTTTGTCCTTGTAAGACAAACATTAGAATGAATCCACATGGAAGAGAATTTGCTCTCACAAACTTCTTTCTATGCTTATCCTAGTTTGCGCCACATTCTGGCATGAGCTCTGGCATCCTCTGTAAAACTGTGCATGTTGTGTGAACTGAAGAATATATTAATTTTTTGCATCGTGTCTTTAATATATTCCAAGAAAAGTCATCTGATTTGTAAAGCAACATGCATGTGAAAGGATGTCCAGACACTTATTCCAGAATTGAATGTCTTGTGCTTCTTCAGCTTCTAGTAGTACAAACGTTACACACAAGAAAAAAGAAACTGCCACAAATGTGTGATATTACATTTGCTGAGATCACATTGTTCTTTCTCATACTGGTATCATGGTTAAAGTATTTGACGATGTCACATTTGGATGATGCTGTGTCCGATTTGTCGTGTGCTAATGAGTGACATTCTGATTCATTTGAAGGGTTGTGCTAAAACAGTACCACTACATACAACTCTGCCAGCCAATCCGAGATATTGGCTGGGTGCAGACTCTAAAGCAACACCTGTGGGGCTGTGCACTACCCAATCCCAGGTAATCGCTCACCAGAGCAACGAAAAGAAACAGAGCCACAATTGCCACTCATTTCCATTCATACATGCTCATGGAGATGTGATTTACTTTTGTTTTCTATTACAGTGGCACAGTTTTTGTTTTTCTGGTGAACCACCACATTATCTCTGGTCTACTCCTCAGGTCATAGCACCTCTGTTTTTCTCTTCCATATGGACACTAGAGTAGTGGGGTTGGATGGGGCTGTTTGACTGCCTGCCGTTTCATCCCACATGTAAGGTTCCTTAAGGTGCCTTTTCTTAAGGAGGCCTCAGGTTAAGTCCAGTCATCTCCAACCATCCCTGAACCTCCGCTGTTATGCACACACTCTTCTGCATGACTTTTGAATGATACATCTAGGCATTAGAGAAGGAGAATCCACCCATTTCTTAGGCAGGTCACTCATGTAATCACTAGAGATGTTCCGATACCGTTTGTCCTTACCGATACAGATCCTTCAATTTGTGAAGGCTGATTCTAGGTACCAATCTGATACCAACAACCGTATACTCCTCTACCTTGAGGAGGACATGGTCAAATACATGCAGAGTTAGAATGCCGAAAAAATATCATCTTTGAACCAGTCGGTGCTGATAGGGATCAGCATGCCAAGGTCCAGACTTTTCCTTGATGCAGGCTTGCACTGTATCCAACTCCCTTTCCTGTAAGTGCCTGTGATGAGCCCCTCATTTTTCTGGCTTTGCCTTGCCAGGACCATTGGGTCATTGCCTGCTTAGGTCCGGCTTTAGGAGCCTCAAACACAGGAGAAACAATGTGAGTTGGTCCTGGCCATGCGGCAGTGGAGCAGCTCTCTTCTCTTGCAGGGGAGGGTCATGCATGTTTTCTTCAACAGTCTACATGTGTTTTAAAGAGACCATGTCCCATGGGCAGTCATGTTGGGGTTACTGTAGAATATGGGGTACTAGGCTGTTTCTATGGGCCATCCAGTCTCTGTATAATCAAAGTAAGATATGTGTTGTCATCTTAAGCACAGAGTCAAACAAGTATTGGGACGCTGCTGCTAGCTGTTGAGCCTCCCTGACGTGTCATGGGCCTTACTCCTCTGAACACGGGTGCAGGGAGGTGCTCACTTGATAACCGTGTTGATGTCTACATGTTTGGGTTATTGGGCCCATTGGTGCTATCTGTGTTGTCAAAACCTGGAGCTCACATGTATGGAGCCTGGGTTTGTTGAAAGTAGCAATGCTATTTGGGTTTTGGTATCCACAAGAGCCAGGTGGTTAAGTAACTTATCAGTTGACCATGAGTACTGGGAGGAAGGAACAATGGGAAGCGCTTATCCTACTCATGAGGGCACAAGTATGTTGTGTGTATAACAAATTGTTCCCAGTGGGTGTCTGGCACAAACAGACTGTTCCCTTGTCTAGACTCTGTTTGTGATTAACATGGACAGGATTTTAAGGCTTCCAGTTTGGAGACAGAACTGCATTTTGCCTTATTGCAGATGATGTGGTTCTTTTAGCTTCATCAAAATTCAGTGAGTACCTTGCAGTCTGAGTCTGTGGGCCAGAAAAAAGACTGCTCCAAGACAGGGAGTAAAGTAGCATGGGTTCCTGTTGAAGAGAGAAAGTAAAATCAATGTTGAAGTCAACAGATGGGTTGGTGCAACCTCAGCAATAATTTCTTCATTGTACTTAATCTTCTTGTTGGAGAGGTAGCTGACCAGGGAAGGCAAAGCCATCGATTTACAGTTGATGTACTTCCAGAAGAACCTCTGCAGCTTCACCTCTAAATGATCCAGTTGAGCTTTGGGCATTCGATTAGAAAGCTTCCTGGGTGTCTTCCATTGGAGGTTTTTGAGACGCTATCAGGTGGGAGGACGCCCCCTTCACTAGAGGGATTATACGCCCCACCTTCATTAGATTTGCCTTTGACAAATACATTTCTGACCAATAAGCTTAGCCTTCTGCCACCTCAAGCAGGACTCGATAACAAAGTTTTATTTTGGAATATTAAATCATTACAAACCTAAAAACATGCAGATCTCTTTGATCCAAGCTGGGCTAACTTTCGGGGTAGCTCGACTCACAGCCACTCAAGGCATGCTACATCTGCTAAAGAGCTCATTCAAACTGCTTGATCCAGTGTAGCTCAAACTAAGACAAGATTTTAGTTATAAAGGCTTTGTTGTTGTTTCCTATTGTCTTATAATGAATGCCCTAAAATTGGTTCTTTTCTGTCGGTCTTAGCGAGCATGAGTGATTTGCTTCATGAGTGATGTTGTGGAGAGACGTTGATAATAAGTTGCGCCATTGGATCTGTGCTTAAACGGTCTTATTCTCTGATATACGATTAGTAGTATAGGCTGAATAACAAAGACTTCTTACAATCCTCATATCGGTATCGGAACAACTCTAGAAATCCCAACGTATGAACTGTTCCACAATGCATCTTAGCTCACTGGGTAAAAGTTTTCCACTATGTTTTTTATTTCCATTCAAAAACCTGTCACTGAAGCATGCTGCCACTGTTTTCTGTTGGACCTGCAATCTGATGTTTAGACTCTGCACCTAATCTAGAGTATCTGAGTGTTAGCTTGGATGTAAGATGAGGGGTAAGTATGAGTGGAGTGAGAGAAGCCGATCTGCTTTGGAAAGACACATTTCAGAGGAAATTGTAAGTGCATGTTAATAACTTTTACTGACTATTTGAAATGCTAAATGATTACTAATCTGTGTGATTTGGATTTTCTTTTTTACATAGTGTACTGCAATTTGTGGCTTTAATTTCCCAGAGCACCCCGAGACCCTCATCGTGCTATCGGCATCCTGTCGTTTGTAATTTCACTGTGATTAATTGAATCAGTTAAACATAGATTTAAACCACTGGCTCGTATCGATCTGAACGCAAAGCCGTCTAACGCAATGTTACAAATGGACGATAAGCTTTACTTTAAATGTGTATTCCCACAACACAAAGGGTCATGTCAGGTTTTTAGAGTTTTCTTTCACATGACTCATTGGCCACTTCATCCTATCAGGATCGCCTTGAAGCCATCTTTGTAATATTTCTGATAATCATCCAGACAAGAAGCCCCAAAGTCATGTCGGAGCATTTTGGATTTATATTCTTGTCTGAAATGAGCGGTCACAGGGTGCTCAGCTCAACTCAACCCAATGACTTATCTCTGCCTGAGAGAAATGCCTCATTGTGTGTCTCTTTCTGTCTCTTTCCTCTCTGGTATCTTAACCATGTGCTGCCTCCTAGAGATGCTCAGGACGAGTCTCTCCGACTCGGTCATCATCATTCCCAGGGTGCTACTGGAGGAGAACTACCACCACCACCACTGCTGGAGAGACCTGAGCCCCGGAGGAGCGGAGGTGTCGTACGCTTTGCCCTAGACGGGAACCAGACTGACTAGGTCTGCCTGTGAGGACGGAGGCAGATACACCGTATACACAGACTAGAGCTCTGTGTTGTAAATATCTAGTTTTTGCAACTAAGATGGGTGCGGTGAAAGAGGGGAATCCCACAAAATAAGGAAGCACACACATTTGAAACGCATGTTTGAAACAGCCCTTGGCTGTTTGATCCACGGCATTATCACAAAGGTGCTACATCATTTTTTCAGGTTTCATGCAATTAAGTTGAAAATAATATGTCGATATTATTAGATATACCACACCATTAAGTGCTTATACAACATCTAAAAACACTGTACTGTACATTGATGGGTTTTAGTGTAAATAAATAACCAAAACTTGCAGATTGCAATTCTGTACTGTAGTTTTTGTTGTATGGTCAGTCATTTATCAAACAGGAGTCTGTGCGGCTTGAAATGATGATGACTTCAAGGTCATTACTGATGCCTTTTTATGACCTACAAAAGCAAATCAGACCATCACAGAAAGGAAACATTATTTCTATACAGGTTTGTGTCCAGACTTTTTTGACTGGGATGGCCCAACCCGGGAACAAACATAATGTAGAGCTGGTACAATTTCTTACTGTAACTGAAAGTGACACGATAGAGTAGCAACATGCAACTCTATCGTCTTAATTCTAGTCTCAAAAAGAAAATGAAAAAAAGTCACAATATAAAGTACTTAAAAAATTGCAATCATCTCTCTACATAAATTGTAGACAATTGACTAATTACATTGTAGTACAGAAATGTTGTGAATTTATTATTTTTTGTGAGGTTGCTCCCCTCTTCTTTGCACTTGTGTTATGATGTAAATAGTATTTTTCTACAATAGAAATTATAGCATAAAGAAGGTGGGATTTTAAACGCAAATAAATGACTGGCAGTCTGTCACACCTGCAGCTGAAATAGTTTATTTGAACTTAAGTCCCGCCTCTGACAAGGCAAAAAGCCAAGCGTTATTAAGAAATATGGGGATGGCACTCAGGGTGGCCAATTAGATTTCAAGGGGGGCCCATGACACCCATCTGGACACACCTCTGGACACGCCCCTGTTTCTATATCGTTATTTTTATGCCTGTCCCCCTGGTAGATGTCAGAAGACAAAATGTGGCCCAAACAGCCTTTTCCCAACATTTCCACACCATCGAGTCATTTTAAGTTGCCTGTTAAGACATTTTAAATCTAGGTTTGTTTTTATTAATATGAAACACTACTTACACATGTACAGGACAGGACAAGCAAAGAGATCAATAGTACCGCTTTGTCCACCAAAATCTCCTCCCCTCCTTCAAATAGAAAAAAAGATCCTGGGAATATTGTTCACCCAACAAAAAAAGGATGACCGATTCTTCTACACTGCACTCTGTCAGAAGTCCAAGTTGGCAAGAAAATGAAAGAGTGATGAATTACTACTCACCTACTTTCTTAGAAAAGCACAAGAAGCATTTCTGGATGAAATTTTTGGCAACTTTTTTTTTTTTGGTGCCCCATTAATGCAGGTTCTCATTTTTTATTCATGACAGTGCTTCAGTGCTTGCAGATTGTAGACAAAAGGATGCAGGACAGGAACAAACCAATCAGCTCGTTTGAGGTTCTCATGTAGAGAAATTGCTGTTTTATTTGTCCAAGTTAATTTTTCTTTCTTTCCCGCTGCGGTCATTACAAACTGTGAAAAAACAATGAATATGTTTGTATAGCAGATCCCCTCACGCACTGGGATATAACACATATAGTGCATACGTGAGCGGGCTGCTTCAGATATTGTGTCTCGTGAAGATTTCTGTGATTCATGTAAGTGTGCACAGAGAGACTGCGGTCTTCAACGAGCACTGGGGGGGAGGGGGACAGACGTAACACTCAATCTGTCAGTCTCAATCAGGAAGTCAGCCATCTTCATCAAATACCCACAAATTATTCAAAACCCACACACACAGTACATGGCCAAGAGAGTCTATCACCATCACTTGTGTTGTGTTACACTGTTTGTATTTGTAAGTAAGAGAGATACACGTCACAGGCTGAATCCAAAACCTCTACTTTCTGTTTCTGCTCATTTCTCTGTCAGACTCTTAATTCAGTTTTCAGATTTGATAAGTGAAGACTCCCTGAAAGAAAAAAATCAGATAGGGAACATATGATACCTGCATCATAGCAAATCCATCAGTGGTAAAGGTCGCTTGATGCTTATAAGTAAATGGTGTAACTAGTGCAGAACGTGCTTGTTTGTAATGTGTTTGGTGAAAAAAAAAACAGCTAGGGGCAACGTGTAGTTCTGTGGTCAGCCAACGTGCCCAAATGAGCTTTGAAGCGAGGGATTTCATTCGCTTTTGTTAACGACGGTTAGCTAACATGTGCCTAAACACTGCATTAGGCGAGTCTCCTTCTGTGAGTCGTTTACAGAAAGGGGTAGAAGTACTGAAGATAGCCTCAATTTAGCAAAAATAAACGGTTAAACTTACATTGCAATCTCGAGTGTGTCCCGTTAAACTTAAATAACATAACCTTCGGCGAGGCGTCTCCTGCGCGTGCACCATTTGTGTTGTTACCTCTCGCCCCGTGTTTGCCCACAGAAAAACTATTTAAAATGTTTTAGAACCAATATGAGCTCATCTAAACTTCACAATCAGCACTGCACTTCCTCAGGTCGACAACAATACACCTGTCAAGTCTGACATCCACACACACACGCACGCACGCACGCACGCACGCACGCACGCACGCACACAGATTCCTGAATTGATAGAGAGATAATAATTTAAAAAAGCAGTACAGCACAGTAAAAAAACCTGCATCAAAATGGTGTTAAAAACTTCTGAGTAGAGGAGAAACAATTCTCTTTAATTGTATAGAATCAGATGAAGATATTGAAGTGAAGTAAAAGTGAGTAAATGTAGTGAAACCACCGACATGCCTGAATGAAACTGATGTAGTGACGAAGAATTTACAACCCTCCAGAGTCAGTGTAGTTACACTGATTGTAGGTTCAGAGCTGCTCTGTAAAAACACAATCAGGACGTTTAATTAGTAATGACCTAAGTGAGTGAGCTCACACACACACACACACACACACACACACACACACACACACACACACGGTGTAGAGATGATGAATAAGTGTGTCTCCGTGCTCCCTGACCTGGATGAACACAGAGAGGTGGATGGGCGGAGGAGGAGAGGAGGACAGAGGAAGGAGACATAGATCATGTTGCAGACATTAAGAGGGATGTGTCTCAGCTGCTTTCCAGAATAAAGTCGTTCAAAATGGAAAACTCATCTCTCCTCCCGTGCACGCCCCCTAATCTCCTCTCCCTGATTTACTAATACAGGAATCACTCCCTGGATGCTTGTTCTGTGTATTTAACAATGGGATTATTGCTGGTTATGGCCTCTCTGTGAGCGAGAGTGAAGGCTATAAATAATGAAACAGACCGCAGACATCATTGCTTTTACAGAACAGTGCATCTGAAGGCCGGCACAGCAGTGAAATAAAAACAGGAAACCTGGAAGTGAAAGTTTGAAAATGTTTTAGAGTTAATAGTAAAAGTAGATTTCAGCCAATTTCATGCTTTTAAACTGAAAATATTCCCTGCTCCCTCTCTCCCCTTTGATCCTGGTTACTCGCTCTCCCTCCCTCCATCCCTGCACTGTGCTGTTGCCATAGTGACGGTTGCCAGGCCTCTTCAGACGGTGAGGCTGAATGGGTTAATGAGGAGGCGGAGCATCTGAAGCCCTCCAGATGGTTGTAAGCCCTCCTTGCCCGCAGGTCTCCAAGGACCACCACCTCTCAGAGAGACAAAAAGCCTCTCCTGTTTAGTATTCAGACCCTCGCCGTCAGTCCAGGAGCTGCTTTTATGACCCTACTGTCACCAGTGTGGGATTATGGGAAGTGTGGGGTAAAAGCCTCATTTTTAGCTCTGCTCGGCCGAGGAAGGCTTACTCCAGATCTGTTTTTAAAACTCTGATTAAAGAAGCAGCATGACCGCCCCCTCCCCTTTTTTTACAGCTCCCACCCTGTCAAAATAAAATGAAAAAAATCACCTTTAATGCAACTTTAGCTTTCTATTCCCCTGTAAAGATGTAAATATGGCATCTCTCTATACATGTAGGACGCCATCTTACCTTGTTTTTTTGTAAATGGAAAAAACATGTCAGCAGCGCCCCCTTGTGTCTCAACTCATACAAGACATGTATTTATTGTCACAACATTTACAACACAGTAAAAGTTTGAACAAGTAATAAAAACAGGAGATATTTCACATGCAGCACACATTACAAAGTACAAAAAACAACATTTATTTTATAAAAATAGCAGCTAAAAGAAAGTAAAGTGATAACTGTGCTTGAACAGTACTGCAGATTCTATATTTCACGACCATATTTGACCATACATACATCACCGTATATGCAAAAATATGCAAAACAAGCTGGTTTAGTGCAAACTCGTTCCTTTACAAATTCAAACGTCAAATATAGTGAGACATTCATCATAGTCAGCGGGTATTTATGAATGTGCTTTTTATAATCTGAGGTCAGTTTGGTACATTTACACTCAAGTGTTATAACAGCCCATGTTTCTGTAAACTGTTTTAGTCTCAGCTTTTAAAAAGTAAGGCTTTCTATGAAGACCATGTCTGTAGTGCTTTCTGGTTCACTGTTGGTAGAAAGTAAAGTGAGATACGTTTTCATACACAAGCGTCCTTCTCTCATGTACGTGGGCACAAGTGTGTAAAGCGGCTGGTGATGAATTTAACTTGTGCAGAGGCTCAAAATGTTGTTGGTTGAATGTTGTTAAACACACATTTTATCCTATAGTGGAAATAAAGCCTGAAATAAACAATGAAGATTTCATTATTTAATTTAAGTTTTATTCTCTTTTATTTACGGGAGAGGATTAGGGCCATGGGCGTGAGGTAGGAATAAAGAGAGGAGGAAGATTGTTAATTGTTTAGCACCAATACACCAAGTCAAATTCCTTGTATGTGTAAATGTACTTGGCAATAAACCTCGATTCTGATTCTGATTTGTTTCAATTCTTAACCTCGAGAATAAAGTTTAAATGTCAGAAAAAAAAATTGAAATGATGCGAATTAAATTGCAATACAATTTAGAGAATGAAGTCAACATTTCACAAATCTAGATTCTCTTGATTTTGACTTTTTCTCAATATTTTAAATTAAATTCTGAAGTTGTGTTTCGACTTAATCTCGATATCTTTTTATTTCTTCATAGTTTTACTTTTTTCTCTACATTTTAAATTTATTTCCAGAAAGTATTTTGACTTAATCTAAATATATCTAACATTTCAGAATGATTTTCAATACTTTTCTACATTTTGACTTTTTTCCTCTTGATTTCTAGTTTCTGTTCTCAATACTTCTCAATAAAATTATTTTGAAAATTATTTTGGACTTGATATGTCGACTTTTTCCTCTCTAAATTTCAACATAACGGTGTATAAAATATTCCTCCTCTTATTATTTATTTTTCATCATTTTTGGCCCTAAAACTGATTTTTCATAGATGCATCTTCATTCACTTTACTTACACACACAGTTAAACCTTATGTTACTACATGCTTTACAACGCACACTTTACGTGAGTCCTTTCTGATGTTTGTCGAGGTCAGTCATGAACCATCATGAGTACCATCAGACGGTCTCCAAAACAAGTCAACAGCTTCAATAAGATACCTGAACTCACGATATTATGAGTAATATCTAAAATATTAAATCACTGTTGATGAAGTCATCCAAACAGCTTTATGCATGTAGTCATTCAACTTTAAGAATGCACTACAAATCCCACAATGCACCACAGATATGGTCTTCATTTTTTTATGAATAGAAAAAATAAAACTTCTACAAAGTGTTTGCATTTCATCCTTATTGATCTCTTAACTATTTAGGAAAAATCAAAGACTCCATATTCTATAGTCCAGTGTACATCTACTATATTATTTTAATATATTATGTATATGAAGAGTGAAGGTGAAATGTGAATATAATCTCTGTTAAATGTAGAATGTGCAAAGATTTGCAATGTTTGATATTTAATAAATAAATGATGCAACAGCGACACCCAGTGGTAACTAGAAGGTATCAGCCTACCAAATGTCCTCTCGTTGCAGCCAGCCACTCTAGGTGTTGAAGACCAGGTAGGTGAAGTTCTCCTGTTTGGGTTTGACGCTGAAGTTGTAGTGTCCGATTCGGTTCCTTTGGTAGTAGAAGAGGCAGACGAAACCAATGATGAAGATGAGCGAAACGCCGATTCCAATGCAGGCGAGTCCGGCCACGTACAAAGTGTTGAACTCCTCCTCCAGGGACTCTGCAAGAATAATGTCCAGTTTAAAGACTAGAAGAGAAAGCAGGCATGGTGTGGGTGATGGATCAACACCAACTGGTTACAACAAACATTTAAAGTCAAAGATCAGTACAAAAGCAGACAGTTTAGATCATAGGTGGAAAAATTAGCTCTAAAGTACAACTTGTGGGTGTAGATGGACTAGTGGGTTTGTTTTACACACCCCATGCAGAGGCTTTAGTCCTTCAAGCGGCCAACCCAGGCTTCCAATCCAACCTGTGGCTCCTTTCCTGCATGTCATTCCCCACTCTGATTTCTTACTCTATATCCACTGTCCTGTCTCTAAATACAAGCATAAGAGCCTTAAAATGAACCCAAAGAAAGTCATAACTTCATGTGATATCTATGTAGCATTCAAACCAGAGCACACACTTTTAAAGTTGCTTTTTTTTATTTGCTTGAAATCCAAGTAAACAGGCAGGTTAAATCTGAGTGCAGGAAGACACCTCAGATCTCTAAAATATATGAACCAGCTGGGAAGAAAGTAGAGGACCTGCTACCGTTAGATAAGATAAGAAGGTATCTTTAATTAACCCCACAGGGGGGAAATTCACTTTTACACTATGTTATTGAGACATGCTAACACATACTAAAATACACGCACAAGCACAAACAGGATCCAGACATGCACTACTGGAGAGATGTCACATGACAGAGCGCCTGAGCAATTGGGGGTTCGGTGCCTTGGGATTGGATGGGTTTTTTCACATGTTGTGGGTCATTGGACACTCAGGTTACCCAAAAATATGTTCAAAAACACTGAAGAAGTGGATTTTATATAATATGTCCCCTTGAAAAACTAACATTTATAACTAAATCTTCCATTCAGCACACTTTAAAACAGCTCAAACTTTAATATCAACTCCATCACAAAGATTAATCATTTGTTTCAAATGTGAATACTGATTCTTTTATTATGTGAGCTTTTCAAACTCTCCTCTCCACCACACTAATGGTAGAGATGGCTCTGCTTTCAAAAGATAGATGGCCTGTTCAGATTTTAAAATGTACTCAAGTTCATAATGGATCCTGAAAAGCGTGACATCTGCTCTACTTCAGTCTGCCTGTTAGTAGCAGAGTGTGGAAACTGAAGTGTCATCACGGCTTTAGCTGGAATCACATTTTAGATTCAAATTCTAACGCAGAGGCGCCCAGACTCTGGACTCCTCACTGCAGATATCTTTATTCTACAGGTAAATAGGTTTTTTTTGTCTGCTCACAACCATTGTGACTGTTCTCTGGTCTTTATAATAAAATATTTGTATGGCACTTTTCAGTACAGGTAACAAAGTGCTTCACAGCAGAAAATAAAAGCAAACAGACAAATATAAGATTCAAGATTACAAAACAAAATAAAATCACAGAGTTAAAGGTTTTTTGTGTCTTGAGTAGAGAAATAAAACAAGGGATGGACGCTGCAGGTCTGATCTCCTCTGGCAGGCTGTTCCACAGTCTGGGGGCTCTGACAGTTTAGTCCTGTCCCCCCTTTAGTTTTCAGCCTGGACGTTCAAACAGCCAGCAGAGCTCAGGATCTCAGACTGAGTCCTGGTTCATGGAGAGATAAAAGGGAGGGACCAGCCCATGTTGTACCTAAAAAGCACAGTACAGAATCTCGAGCCCGTTTCAAACATGTACTCCTGAAAATTGACTCGTGTGGGTGCATGTGTGAACACAAACTGCCAAATCTGCACACCGCATACATTTTGGCCATTTAAGACTATTTGTACCAGAAAAAAAGTTAAACTATTGATAAATGCGGGGATACGGCAGGAAGATGGTCTGTACATTAGAGCTGAAGGTGAGCAGTTGTTATGCTTCCTTCTTCAGGCACCTCGCTTCCCAATTGGCTATTGATTCGTTCTACGATTATTCACAGAGTGTGCGGATACCCTCGGGTCTCCTGTCACAGGAGGTCCTGAATATTGATGTTAAATGTTTATGATTTTAAATCAGGGTACCTCTGTCCTTCTGATCAGACCAGATCTCTCTTAACACACCTCTGTAGAATCTAAAAAAAGAGATTCTGTAGAACCATTAAAAAATCAGGACTTAGATTTGTTGGAAGGGGCCTAGACTGGTTAACTAGTCTGAGTTTGAATACGGTTTAATCGACAGTGAAATTAGTCAAGAACATCTCCCACTCTGAGGTGAATTCATGAAAGATGGATCTGGGAAAAATAAGGACCTGGATTTCCTGAAATCATCTTGAACATGTCCGGAGTTCATGTGTATCAGGGCCTATCAGAGGTACTCATCTCAGCAGGAGAGTGATGGTGTATATTTTCTTATTCTGTTTAAAAGTACTCACCTTCGTCTGACCTCAGTATCGGCCCGAATGTGCCCAAAGCTGTCCCTATTGTGTTTGAAGACCGAGCTGCTCTTTGAAGACAATCCTGACAGAAAAATAAAATTTTAACACCACACCTGATGCTTCAGACATTCTCACCGAAACTGCAAAGTTGATTTTGACTATTTTACATAGATGTACTCACGGGCACACAGGTATCTGATCCCATCTGCACACAGATCTGGACCTGGCAGTGCAGATAGATGACGTCCAGGTCGACGATGGAGAAAATCTTGACAGACAAACGTGATGTGCTGGAGTTCCCGTTTGTCAGCACTTTGGTGAAAGAGTTCAGGGAGCAGCTGAGGAGACGGAGATCAAGGAAGTGAGAAACCTGAAACAGCAGTTTTTTGTCTCTAGTCTTTGTTTAGAGCTAATGTGGTCGTAGACTACACTGACACCTACAACAATCCCAAACCATGTTCAAGGTTACATTTTCATGTCATGATGAAAAATGTCTGACTCAGCTGCTGTTTATAACCAGCAACCAACACTGAGTTACCTATAACATGAACTAGCTGAATTGTCTAGTCATGGTCATCACTTTTCTCAGTTGCTTATTTCATTTAGAATTTAAAGGATCAGAAACTATCTTTCGACCATTAAGGATGCAGAGATAGGACCATGGAAAAAGTGTCCATGAATTGATTAGTTAAACACTTTCTCTCATCCTAAAGTACCTGCTCATCTTCAGACCAAAGGCTGACTGACAACAACACCAATAGGGTCAAATAGCAACAATAGGAAGAGCATGGAGGTGGCAGTAGCTCAGTCTGTAGGGACCGAGGTTGAGGACCAGAGGATTGCAGGCTCAAGCCCCAGTGTGGGCCAAAATATGGAAGCCAGGTCTGGCAGCTGGAGAGGCACCAGGGCACCTCCTGAGCACTGCTGATGTGCCCTTGAGCAAAGCACTGGTGCACTATCCTCGTGTTTCTCTTTTCCCTTTGTGTACATTTCCCTAGATTAGTCTTTAGTGTTTTATTTTGTAGTTCTTGTCCCCAGTGCTTCTTGACTTCCTCCCTTTGTCTGGTTTCCCTCCTTTTTGATTGCCCTGATTCATGATCGTCTTCACCTGTGTTGTTGGTCTCACCTGTGTCTGATTACCCCAGTGTGTACTTAGCTTCAGTGTACCTTCCCTCTTGTTGGACGTTCATACGTCTATCTACCAGTGTGGCTTAGTCTTTCTGCACATGTTCTGCCATGAAGGTGATGGAGAGGACTGAAGACCTCTCCCTACAGTCAATACGGGAACAGTCTGTTCTCAGACTTACACAGAAAGTGTTGTCTGACCCGTCTCACATCCTCCACTCTAAGTATGAGCTTCTACCTTTTGGTAGATGATACAGAGTCCCAAATGTAAACTGAACCGTTTTTGTAATACACCAAGTTTGAAATATTAATGGTATCATAAATAGATACAGAGCATCAGGTAGAAGCAGACCTGTTCTCCAGGAAGGTGTGGCTGTAGGTGTCTCCAGGGTTTGGGGTGGGAGTGGCCCAGCATTTGCTGATGACTATTTTAATCTGCTCGGAGGAGGTGTTTAGGCTGACCTCCACCACCACATCCTCCTCTGACGACATGCTGTAGTTGTGGGGCAGAGGTATTGTGCCGTTCATCAGCTGCACTGTCACCTGGAACACCCCAGAGCCCGTGATGACATCTTTGATCATGTCATACCTGAGGAGAGGTGAGAAAAAACACATCTATTCAACAGGAACACTCTGATGAAAAGTAAAATAAAAAAAATCTTCCTGTGTGTTTTACGGGGAAATGTTCTAGCCTATTTCTTGGGGGGGGAAACCAGTTGCCAGGCAACTAGCAGAGACTGTAGATAATGGTGAGCAACTGGTTACTAATGGAGCTCAAATGTGCTGAAAGGCTGATTTTTTTTTTATCTTTCAATACAGTCGTAGATACACTTGGGCTTTTTGTCACTTTTCACTGTCCATTGGCTATAAATGGTTGAGCGTCCAGGTCTAAACTTGCCTTCTGTTAAATTCACACATCTGGCCTCTCACATCACAAACAGGGTTGGAAATCATGCTGTTGTGTTCCAACTCATAAATTGCAATGCAGAGTATCTGACAAAGGAATAGGTCAACTTTAAGAATCTATTACCTATTTGCATTGTGAGGTGCAGGAGCTTAAATATGCTGATATTAAAGGGAAAACACCATGAAATGATATTTTATGTGTGTGTTTTAACCAAATGATTGATGTCTCTTAAAAGGATTTGGAAAATAACAAGTCATTTCAAATGCATTTTTTATAAAGAAGTATCTGTCACATATCTGCAGTGCAGATTATTCCCAATAACAACTTGTTTATTGTGAAAATTGGCAAGGACAAAGCTCTATATGTCATTCTCCCCGACTCATTTCAACAGCTTCAACTGCTCTGAGGCTATCCAGGAAAGCGTGACATAAAGTAAATCATACCCTGTTGAACCAAAGTCAGCGGAGATAAGCATGCTCTTCATGTAGGTACACACGATGGGAACCTCCAGTCGTAACTTTGGAGCCTCCACTGCTCCACTGGGTAAGACGTATGGATCCATGGAGTTAAACAAAGTCACAGATGCTGTGAAGAATGTTTCATTCTAAAATACCAAATGTTGAAGGCCGTTTTGGGTTAATTCAGAAGAAATACAAAGTTCCTGAGACCAAATACATGCAAGCATAGTGTCGTTAAAACATGTCAAAGCATAGCATAAAATGCTGCATGATCCCAGTTGCAAAAGAAAACTTACTTGCACAAGCCTGGTGGCACACTCATTCCAAGCCACGGTTAGCTCTGCATGGGTGGTATTCCTTACATTTAGACCACATTCAGGCAGTCCCAAGTAAAGAGTGCTTTCCCTGATGTTGGCGCTCTGAAGGAAACCTTTGGCGACAGTCACTGTGATGGCAGCAGCCCTACACTGGGCCGAGATGGCTCCAAGTATAGAGACATTGGTGGTAGTACTCGGGGCAGGAGATATGGTTGTAGTGATGATGGTGGTTTTAGGGATAGAAGTAGTGGATGCCATTGGAATAGCGGAGGTTGTTGAGACAGTTTTGGAAGTTTTATGGGGAGTAGCGGGTTTTCTAGGGGCAGTAGTCGTTTTATGAGCAGTAGTTGTTGTTGGGACTTTAGTGGTTTTGATTTGGGTCTGTGTTGTCATCACTGGAGTACTGGTTAGAGGAGGAGTAGTTTTTGGGGTAGTAGTAGTGGTTGAAGAGGCAGTTGTTGCGACAGTAGTGGGGGGTTTGGGGGTAGAAGTGGTCGCTGTAGGTGCAGGAGTGGTGGTCTGAGTTATAGGAGTGGTGGTTTTAGGAGCAGTTGTGGTTGTTAATGCAGGGGTGGCAGTTGTTGATTCGAGTGTTGGGGAAGTCATGGTGGTTTTAAGCATAGGAGTAGTGGTTATTGATGCTGTGGTTGTGGTTGCAGGAGAGGTAGTTTTACGCGCAGTAGTGGCCATTGTTGGAGCAGGAGTGGTTTTATGTGCAGGAGTGGTGGGCGTTGATGCAGGAATGGTAGTTGCAGGTGCAGGAGTGCTGGTTTTTGATGTAGGAGTGGTGGGCATTGATGCAGGAGTGCTGGTTTTTGATGTAGGAGTGGTGGGCATTGATGCAGGAGTGGTGGTTTCAGTGGTCAAAAAGGCGGTACTAGGAGGAGTAGTGGTTGTTGCTGGGGTAGAACTTGTGGTTATAAGGATAGGGGTGGTCACAGTCATAGCGGTGGTCACTTGCACATGGATCACAACTGGAACAGCTGTTTCTTTGACTGGACCAGTGGTTGAAACTAGTGTTGTAGATGTGTCTGTGTCACTTGTTGATTTAATGACAGTGGTTTCCCCTGGAGTGGTGGTTCCAGGGGTTAAAGCTACAACACTGGCCTGGGTTGTTAATTGAGAGAAAGGGATCGTACTAACTGTAGAGAATATTGTGGGTGTCACAGATGTCGTTGTCCCCGTAGTTTTGACTGCAGCACAAAACAAAACACTCTTAGTATTATTCAGTGACAGTAATCTTAGCAAAGTCAATATTACCTTTACAAGTACATTGTGAAAGTGTACCTTGGCAGGCTCTCCCTGGCCTTTCTGTGCTCTGGTCTATAAATCCATCCAGGCAGACACATGTGTAGGAGGCCCATGTGTTTGTGCATGTAGCCCATTGGGAACAGTCATTTTCCCCTGAAGCACATTCATCAAAATCTATGAAAAGTAGAATGTTTGGCTCAGTAAGGGACGTTTTATGTTGTTCTTTAGAATTGTATGCGCGGTATCTTGCTTTAAGATTATTTATACTTAATAACCAGACACCAACAAGTTCTCTGAATAAGATATGATTAAGAATGACACCTGTGAATTCAGCATTTCTTGATTGCTTTTTCATACAAAAACGTATGTTGCTGTATGACACAAAACATAGAGGAATGTCAACACAAAGAGTCGACTCTCTCTACTTCATTTAATACTTTTTGTTTCAAACGAATAAATGTGCCATACGTGCTTTCCATCTAGCAATATGTTAATGAAAATATCAGAAGACCAACAAACCGACTAATATCTTGTTTTTGGGGCTGTCAAACGTTTTTTTTCTTAATCACGATTAATCACTAAATTTCAGTCGACAATCTTGTTTAAACACGTTTTAATCACATGTTTGAAATGCCATTATTTCACATTAAAGAATAGAAAATGTTAGGCTTTTATTTTGAAATTTCTGTTTGAGAGTCTTTCACTGGCTCTTTGAAATAATGTAAGGACCTTCAGGTAGATCGAAGACAACAACATAAACTCGTTCCGGATCAAAAAGTAAACTAAAAATCAGCTCAAGAGGACGGTCAAAAAGTAAAAAGGTTTGATTTCATAAGGTGGATATTACTTTGGATGAGTTTGTTAAAGTGAAGTGAGACGTTCAAAGACGCAGAAGTGTCCTACTTTTACATCACTGTGACTACAGGGAGACACTGAGGACGAATATCTAAGGTGACCCCGAAGGGACAAAATAGCATACGATTAATCGGGATAAAAAAAAGTATGCATTAACTTCAGACTTAATTAATTGCAATAACTAGTTAATGCTGACAGCCCTATAAGTGTTCACTGCACCTGTGAATAATGTACCTTAGCCACTGGTATAAGTCATGATTTAGAAACTCTGCATCCTGGAATTACCAAAATACCAACATACAGAATCACTTTATACCCTCAAAATCTGATCGAAACTGTCTTTCAAACTCCAGCCTTATTGTGTAACAGGGGATTTGTTGCACAGTTGGATGACACCAGCCCTTCTTACATTAAATTTGACACACAATAAAGACAAAGAGGAAATAGGAAAGAGCCGAGAAAGAATAGAGAGACCTACCATTAATGCTTGTGTTGTTTATATCCACGGTGTATTTGGTGCTGTTTTTTAGGGAGTTTAGCACAGCTGCAGACACATTACTGATGTCCTGGCTCTGACTCGGGGTGACAATGAGGGTGAAGTTGACCACCACACTCCCCGGAGAGAAGCCTTTGATCACTATTCTCACCAGGCCTGAATCCACCATGGCCTTCATCTCTGCAGAGAGCGACTGGTAGATCTGTTGGTGACGAAACACAACATCATGTCAGACATGTTTACAGTGTGTAAAATCTCACTGGATAATCCTCGTGACAAACGCACCTCATCTGTGAAACTCTCAGTGAGGTTTCTGAACGCCTGGCTGCTGGTGTTTTGCAGATCAGCAGTGAAATTGATGTTGGTCAGTCGTGCTGTAGCGTCAAGAGTCTGAGCATCTAAGGAGAAAAACAAAGTTACTGGGTTCAGTAAATACAATTTTTGCAATTAATTATCAGCACTGGGCAAACAGGTTCATCATGAAGTATTGTCCTGTCACACACTAGATATTAAGTGAATGTTATTACTGTACTTACTGTGTCTATTTACTCATTCTTAATCTTAATCAATGGCATCATTGTATTTTCTTTAAAAAAAAAAAAAAAATCATTTTTACTTTGAGATCAAGACATACCCGAGACCAGAGTGCTCCGAGACCAAGACAAGACCCAGACCAAGGCAGGGCAAGACAGAGACTGGACCCAGACAATAAATATCACTGAAAACTGAACATCTTGTGTGCAGCGGGCGTGTCACTCACTTAGACCATAACAGTGGGAAACATTGGTATCGACTGTTCTTGATTAAAAAGTCCACCCAGTCTGAGACAGAGACAAGACCAAGTAAAAATGCTTTCATTCCAAGACCCAAACCTTCAAAAAGTGGTCTCGAGACCGGTCTTGAGGCCAAGACTGATTTCGAGTACTACAACACCGATAACAATATTAAGAGAAAAAATTCTGATTCCCTCAAATACTGTTATCAAACACCTGTGGAAAAATATTTATATTAAAGGTCCCATATTATGCTTTTTATGGTTTTATATGCCCTTCAGTGTGTTTTCCAAGTGTCCTGTGCATGTTTAGGCACATCAACAAAATTCAAAGTCTGCGGAAACACGGCTTCTCCTACCTCCTCCTGTTAGCTGTAGCATTAGCTGCATGTAACACTCGGTTCGAGCCCCCCTCGATAAAAAATTTGTCAGTGCGACGTCATTGTCAGTGTGAGATCACTGATCTAAGCTCATTGGCTCGTTGTGGCAAGCCCTGCAGCTCATGTTGAAATTTCCGAGAAGCGTGCTGAGCAACTGACCAATAACGACAGAGCAGATTGGCAGACCAATCAGAGCAGACTTGGCCCACGTGGGGTTTAACAGTGTGGGCTCAACAGAGTGCAGCTGATGGACTCAGAGCGTAGAGGGAGCAAGGAGGAGCAGTACATGAAAACAGACACTTTTTTCAAACTTTAGCTATTGTGAACGTACAAAAGTAGGTACACAGATTAAATATACAAACCCCAAAAAGGGCAGAATATGGACTCTTTAAAACAAGATTTATTTTTTACAGTTGAACCAAAGCCTTTACTCTCCAGAATAACAACAGTTCACTGAAACTCTCATTTTAACTTTTCACTAACCCTAACCCTTACCCTATGAAAATAAATAATAAACCTCAATTGAATGAACCTAGTTTTATCGGCACATATCGGAGATAAAATGAGCTGATAACGATAGTCACTTGATATGATAATATCGGCCGATGTTATCGGCTGGCCGATTAATCGGTCATCCTCTACAAAGTAGGAATACTTCTGCAAAGGGAAAGTTAGGATTTTCAGCCATATAGTTATTTTAAAAATCCTAAAATTTAAGTTTGATTATAAAACCTTATACAACCGTAATAACACCTTAATAGGCTGTATTTTATATTAAACAAGTAATACAATTAAAGCAGAAGTGCTGTACCATGTTCGTCTCATGATGTGTAAAAGTAAAAAAGAAAACTTCTGTTAGATATGAGCTTGGACCACACAAACATTCAATGCACAATCTTAAACTTGAAGACAGTATTGAGTATCTATATTGAAAGAAATATATACTTAATTATCAACCTCGTTTTTTGTGTGCACATGTCTTACCAGTCTTGACAGATATCGAAAATGTTCCCCCTTGGCTTCCACAGGCACAAGGTGTGACGGTTACATTGTAGAGCACCCCAGGCTTCAGTCCCTGCACCTCCATCATTGTGTCACTGGTTCCATGAAAATGAACGACGTCCGACCCCCTGCTTACAACAACCTGGAAAGTCTGGTTCGTCTGAGACTGGCTGGACCAGTAGACGGAAAAGGAAGTTCCAGTAACTTCAGCCGACCATACGCTGGAGACGCTTGAAGGAGCTGGAAGGTGGTGGTGGTGGAGGGAAGGGCAGGGACAGAAAAGAGGGTAATTATTTATTAATTGTTGGGTAATACATTGATTAGACTCTTCTCCTCTGTCGCCCCCTGGTGGTGGAACAAACAACTGAACTCCAGTCAGTCTGCAGAGTCCCTATGCACCTCTAAGAAAAAGCTAAAGACCCAGCTCTTTCATGAACACCTACTGTACACACATGATGATATTGATGATGACGATGATGATGATATTTAGGATGGTTTTGTTGTATTTACTCTGTGTTGTTTGTCACTTGGCTAAATAATTTGTAAAATTGTACAATTTGCCTCGTTGACAAAGATTACATAAAGAAATAAACCACTCTATGTTCGTGTTAAATAAAAGGCTATATAGCTAGCTGCTCTGCCACACGTTTGCAAACTTCTGATTGACTTAGATGTCAGAGTCATTAGCACCTCTGACACTGTTTTTTAACACCTTTCAAAACATTTGTGGGGATTAAAAGCTTGAGATAAATTAAAATATTTCATACAGCACGTGGTTGTTGGGGGGGTTGACTCCACGGTTGACCTCATGGTGGTTTGAGGTGCAGGACTTGTCCACTGTGGAGCATGTGAGGAACTGGAGGAGACGCTGCTCATACTCAGATCTGCAGTCACGATGATCTCTGTGGAGGAGACAAAACCTACAGTGCTGCTCTTCAGAGGCTCCTGTGTGGTGTCGGAGGCCGGGGTGTAGGTTGTGTTCATGGGTGGAACGTAGGAATGTGTGGGCTCCATGGTCGTCGACTCATCTTGAGAGAAAAAAAAGAAGCTGAAGTTTGATGAGAGCTGGTTTAGTCTGTTTATTTATCATCTGTCTTTATAGCAGAATATCAATTAGAAACTTCTCATGTGTTCTTGTTGAGTTATATTTAGAATCCGATTTTGGTTGTTCTTTATGTTTCCTGTTTTATTTGGTCGTTTCCTTCCTCGTGCCTGGTTTGAATTTCCCTTAGTGTGCATTTTTGTATTCCCACGTCTTCTCTTTAGTGTTTCCTGTTTTACTTAGTCATTCTTGCCTTTAGTGTTATCTCTCTGTTAACCTGGTGCCCTTGTACTGGTTTGTATCTGAGTTGAGTCTTTTGTGTTTCCTGTTGTATTTTGTAGGTCTTCCACTAGTGTTTATTTTCACCTGTGTATCTAGTCACACCTGCCTTGATGAACCCAGTGTCTGTTTAGTCTCTGGCTGTTTTTAAAAAGTCACCTTCTAGTAAAATGTACTGATTTAGCCGAACTGTAGTATGCGAACAAATGCGAGATCAGCAGTTTGTCCAAAAACACCCGGCTGTGTACTACTAAAGGAAAAATCAACAGTATGCATCAGAATCGTCTTCCTCGCGTACTGTTTCCCACAATGCAAAGCGCCAGGTCAGAGATCAAAATGTTGGATGGAAACAGATATCATCATAACAGGGGAAATCATCACAGTCCGACCAAACCACAAAAAGATACCACCAATAATATTTTGGGATTCTCAAAATCATGAAAATCTAAAAGAATCTTTTTTCCAGGCTATAAGTGGACGCTCCATTTGCTGTCAGTCGGGCTCAGAGGTGCTGCTAGTCAACAGGCAAGGCAGGCAACTGCTTGGAGCCCCCCCCCCGCGAGGACTGACAAACTTGAAGCCACTGCAGAGCATGTGCAAATTGTAAAATGAATTTTGCTCAGGGCCCCAACAGACTCTAGAATCGCCACATGCCGGGCTCATTCTAAGACCAGAAACCAGATTAGCTGTGCCTAGCATCCTGCAAAATAACCACCGACTGGCAGTCAGACTACATACTGTCGAACGCAGTAAGCAGTACATTCTTTTGTTTCGGGAAATGTTTTTGTGTTTGAAAAACGTTTTTGCGCTTAATTCAATATTTTTACATTCTATGAAATGTTTTTGCATTTGAAGGCCACAGTCGGTTAATGACCACTTCTTTCACCACATGCTAACTCATACTCAGCCTGACCTCTGCAATGAGCTCCAGGGTTGCTGGGGTCCTCGTCTGTGTATCCTTGGAGGCAGGTACAGTGATAGGAGCCCTCTGTGTTGGTACAGTTTGCATGAAGGGAGCACTGATGCAGAGCAGGATGTGAGCACTCGTTTATATCTGTAAATAAATGTAGAAAAATATGAAGAGGTAACAGGCGGAGGAAGGAAGGCTGTGATTACAAACAAGGACTGATAACAACAGTTCATATTTAGAACTGGAACAAGTATGTACCTGATAATGCAAACCTAAAAACATGAATTATATGGAAAGGCATAGGGTGTTATAATTACAGACAAACGTTTTGTTTCAAGTTAGAAAAATGATTCAGGAAAATAAATAACAAGTTGTTTTTGAAACATCACAGTCTGCTTTTCCAAAAAATGCCAGACTCTCTTCTTTCAGCCTCTGCTCCTCTTATTGTTTTCGGTCTGTCCCTAACATGTTGAAATTTTAGACACCACTCTTACGGTTTCAGGTTTGACTTAAATACAAACAGCAAGTTGTCTTTGATGAACTTTTCTTCTTGTTTCCTCTCTTTAAAAGTAATTCAGAGGAAAATAATAAAAGTCTGCTTTCCCGCTGGAAGAGAGTGATGAATTATAATTTTGCTGTTTGAATGTATGCATGACGGCTACACTGCTGTTTTGTCTTTCACGCAAATGTAGCAAGTATGTCAGATTTATGATTCATATCTGTGTGTGTGTGTGTGTGTGTGTGTGTTTGTGTGTGGGATCGTGTGAGTTGGTGCACGTGTGTGTATGCACATGCTCTCATGTTATTTTCCGCTATTGCAGGAAACAGCCCACAGATGACTGTCACTCAAATAGAAGTGGTGGGAGAAGGAAACTGTGGTGCGGCTGAGTCATTTTTTCCCTCACAACGTGTTCTCTGCAACGTGAATCATTCTCAAAAACTCAACGAGAATGTCATTTCTCTACAGAAGAAAGAGTAGCCTCACTGAGAAACTGAGTGAATGCTGTTCAGCTCAAACAGGCCCCCCTCACCTTCCACTGTAACAGATGACACCTCCTGTATGTACACAAGGAGAAGGTGCAGCGCAGCCGTGACATTGTGCAGGGAAAGAGTGCTGTTGCATTCAATGAGCAGGGAGGTGGCAGTTCTGTAGGGATGAACAGGCCGGGAGCCCAGGTAATAAACAGAAACATCCACCTGCAGCGCTCCAGTTACCTTTGAATGAGACACAAATAATATGAACAATTTTGTTCTCTGCATATCTTTGTTTTTTATCATTTCAAATGAACAGACCTATCTCAGCTGCACAGTTGTTACATAAGCAGCAGTGTCACTAGCAGCAGTGTTAGCAGCAGTGTTACCATGGCTTGTAGTAATCTGATGTGATTCAGATGTCCGTCTCCGTCTTTGGACATCACTTGTTGGTAATCTGCCTTCACTGTCACTGTGGCATTAAAACGGCGTCCTTCACTCTCAGAGTTATTAGCTGGACCTGAAAGGGTTAAAAAAAATAATAATAATATCTATATATTCTTTACTACACCGAGTGCAATCCATCCCATGAGGGGCTGTATGAGCAGAATGTCCCTATATTTGCTGAAAATCCAAGTAGCATTTGACTCTCCACCATGCAGGAGGTGACATCATTTACTCAGGTTTTAGTTTTGTGATTTTTTTTTACTGTGATTGTAATTATTAGCCACAGTTGTACAGTTCTTTCATATAGTGCACTCAATGTGAGTGTCAGTGTTTTGAAGATGACAACCAAATAATAATCTTCAAATCTGCTGTACTGTGAAGTGTGTTATTTTAAATTTGTGTTAAAAAAAAAAACGCTTTGGCAAGGGAATGACTTCACTTAAGAAACAATTTTAGTTCATAACAACCCAAAAAAAAAAACAATAAGAATGCATACTAACGTGCAGGATTGGTGCAGAGATAATGATCCAATCTGTGGCAGCATTTCTGCCAGCCTGGACAGTCCATGTCCCACTCACAGGCCTCCTCAGATCCAGCATCCAATCCATCTGCAGTTGGACAAATTCCTGGCTTGGCAGTAAACTCCCCGCTCCTGTTTACAGCTTTGTTTGAAAGAAATAACACGTTACAGGCCATATATTAGCAGCAGAGATGTTTGCAGCAGTGTGGTTGCTGTGCTTCTATCTGGTGTCTTGCACACAGCATCACACACTGAAAGGTCAGGCGGATTACTCGTCAGTCACCTCACCACATTTACAAACACTGATGCAGAGACACTTCAAATCTAACCTAAGAAACCAAAAAAAACGTGATCTGTTTCTGTGATTGTTTTGATAAAGAATATGATAATGTGCAGCTAACTCACGCAGGGCACAGTAACGTCCAACTTGCTCGTATCCATCGCAGCACCTGGTCACCTCCTCCATCACTGACCTGTACTCGGTCTGATGGAGCATCCTGTAAAGTTTGACCGTACATGTCTTCAGCAGGAGCCAGTCTCCACACTGCTTTGTCACGGTGTAGGGGACCTTGTGAATCGTCAGGAAACTCACATTCCTCGTCTCATTGTGGTTACACAGATGGAAGCCGGACACAGGCTGGCTCATTCCTGAAATAAAAAAAAAAATACATCCAGTAAATAAAATGTTACTGTTGGCTGTAGTCTCTGGCTGCAAATAAACATCAGATTCTACACTCTGAATTAGTCATTAGCACATAAAAAAAACCTTACATAACTGTCATTCAAATGAGGACATGTAATTCCTCATAAATGCTTTTTTTTCCTGCTCTGAAAAGGCATAAATTTTCATGCTAATCCATCATCTGCGTAGAGGCCTACCTTCAAGCACTGTGCTTTCTCCCATGCACAGAGCCAGCAGGGCTGCGGCCACCCACATGGAGAGAATCCAACTCATTTTTCACAGATCAAAATCCACCACATTGTAGGTGCATGTTTCTCTTTGAAATGATGCTAACTCACTGTTCAGAGTGTGTGCTCTCAAAGACCAACTCCTCTGTGGCTCTGTCTTTCTCCTCCCCTCGCAGCAACATCAGTCCCTGATAGACCAAACAAATAATGGCAGCCAGATGGTAGATTCTTAGCTTAATCCATGTGATATTTGTGATAAGATTGGTGAGCGTGCAGAAGGAGCATTTGTTTAAAAAAAAAAGAAAAAAAAAGAAAGAATCTCTAGTGTTGTGATGAGGTATGGGGGGGGCATGACAAGCTGATGAGTCAGTGCATAAAAAAACACAGGAGCAACTTTATCCAACATGACTTTCACTTACAAAAACTCAGGCCTTTATTCAATTTCTGTTGAGTAAATCCTTTTGCATTTCACTCATTCTCTGCTGCCGCAGTCAGGGTCTGTAAACATGTTTGTGATGCCAGGCAGAGAGACGTGGGATGGGAGGAGTCCGTGTCCCTAATGACTATGGTTTCCACACAGGTAACCATAGCAGTGCTCGCTATGCTGCCGGCTTTAACAGCCTGTGTCAGCCATTAGTGTCGAATAAAAAGGAGGAGTGAGAACTTCCCTGCCATTTTCCCACATGTCTTCATTCTCATTATAAGGAGGAGCAGCGGGACGCTGAGGCTGTCACAGCTTTGTGCTAAAAACGGACTACATCAGGAGTCTGTCATCATCACTTTGACATTATAAATCATTTTCAGCTTGATGAGAAATTCCTGTTTTTTTAGTATTCTTCTAAATCTGTGCATGCATTGCACAACATAAATGTAGTCATTCATAAAATGGTGTCCCTTCATAGTAATGAGGTGTGAAAATGTGCCTGATTACACTTCATTAAGTCATTAAGAGATAATGGATGGTTATACGCTGGAGCATGCAGATGCAGGGAGGCTGCAGGGCAACAGGCTGAGTCAACCAAGGTCATGTTCAACACATCAACACTATAACATAAAGTAATTAACTCAAACAACATGATCTCATGCTGTCTTTCATGTTTTTTGAGTGCTTTCACACCCAGTGCCACGCCTGAGTTCTAATACAGGTACTGCTCCTGATAAAGTGTTCCAGGAAGAAGCCTGCAGGCAAAATAATCGTAGCAACAAAGTCCCCAGTGGATGCCAGTAATGACACAAACCTACGGCTGTACCTGACTTGTACTCAGCCTCACAACTAATTAGTTTCATTGGGGCTCAGGGGGTGCATGCAGTTACATGTATCTTAAATCTGTAACTCATTTAACAAATCGAAAACAATCTCTTCAAGGTGAAATACATGAAATTGGATTTGAACACTTCCAAAAAGACAATATTTGACTCTGATTTAAAATTATTTTGGTGCTTTTTCTTTTACATTTTTTAATGAGATAACATGACTCAAAACATTGTGTGAGGGGCGAATGAAGAGTAACATAATAATCAGACATGGAAATATTACATTTACAAGCAATACTTTGAAATGTATAGACTTATTGATATTGGGAAAAAAAATTACATTAAACATTGTACTTTATAAACCCATGTCTTGTCTTTTTAATCAAGATGGTAGGACTTTTGTAAGCAGAGGTGTCAAGCGAGCCAAAATGCTGGGGGGGCTAGAGAGGGGTCAAGGGATCCTTCTTTGAAAAGAATGGGAAGAATGCTACGTGCTGACATTAAACAAAACAAGCCTTGAAATAATTCTCTAGAAATCTACAGAATATTTAATAATGGCATGTTTTGTGTTTGTCCTTGATTACCAGTGATATACTTTCGTCCAATCAACAGACTGCAGTGTGTCTAGCTGCAGCCTTTCATGTCCGATCGGTTTGCGTTGTACCCCGACAGAAGGAAAGCTGAAAAGTAGGACAGTGCCGATCGGGTATTTTGGTACCATTCCCAACTTTTGACGGTGGAAAAACCAATAAATGCAGACCATACTTTACTCTACTATATACTCTCAGCTTTTTAGATACCATGGGGGGCTCCAAGCAACAAGTTTGGGAACCATTGATTGTATGCACACATAAGCCCCGTTTCCACCAAGCAGTCCAGTTCAGTTCGGTACAGTACCCATTTGTTGGCATTTCTGCCGTCAAAAGTTGGGAATGGTACCAAAATAAGGAATCCGGTACGTTCTACTGCTGTTAGGGTGCCAAGGGTATACCAATCCGACCAAAAGGGTCCTTTTTGTTTACTGTGTCCCTGTTTTTCTTCTTTGTTGAACTTAATTAATAGCGGGCTACACTGTGGTGGGCTGCTATGATGTCACACTATTACATGGCTGACACAGGTATCTCCATCTGGCTTACACTCCGCTTACCAAAAATGGAAATGCAAACAAGATCAGGGTTTACCGTACCGAACTGTACCAAACTGTACTGAACCAAACCAGACTGCTTGGTGGAAACGGGGCTATAGGAACCTACTACTTTTAAGTGAATTATAAAAATCAGAAGTAGCCGGCAACTGAACAAAGAGCCTTTTTTAAGCTGAGAGAGCCAACTCGTACTGTTTTGTTTATTAACATTTTTGATTGAGTATTTCAAAGGCTTGCTACATGGTTTACACACACTCTTGTTCCATGGCATACATGTATCATGGAGGCAGAGTACACAAGTCCAGCGAACATAAACGCCTAAAGCAGCAGAAGAAAGAGACAAAATAAATATATCAGGCATCAAAACAAGTAATAAATAGCCTAATGCATGTCACAGCAAGGACAAATCATGTCACACACATATGAGTGATAGCCTACTACAGGATCCCTTCAGGGATTAATCTAAATGTAATTGGATTTATCGTCCACTTTCATATAAATTTCAGGAACAGGGAGACCCCTTCTCCACCTGACTATCATTATACTGTATGTACTCAGCTTACAGTCATAAGATGCTGTTTCAGTCATTGCATTGGTCCAGTCTTTCACCTGTGGAGCCTTTGATGTCTACTTGTGTCTTAAAATAGCCTGTAACTCAACAGGCTGTTATTCTACCCATAAATATACAGTGCATGCACACTTGGATGTATTAGGCATTTGCAAACTCTCTAACTTGATGTCTGAAATAGATTTGAAATGTCCATCAAAATTTGCCACAATAAATAATTAAAAACTACATAAGTATTACCAGCTGAAACGAAAATATGACCTATCCCTTTAAATTAGCCTGTGTCAGGTCTTCCGTTGGCCCCGCCTCCTGGTCCTTTATTAGCCTATCAGTGCGCGGTGCACGTGACGAGCGTTCTTTGCGATGACCTCATCCCTGGTGTGGGATGACGTCAAATTCAAGATGGATGGAATCACGACCAGCGCGCAGAAATCCACACAACAGTGAATAAAGTCCCGGCTGTGTGGAGGAAAGAGCATATTGACGACGGGCAGGGTAAGTGTGGACAGAATACCAAACTTAAGAGTGAGAAAGAATGAGCAGGGTGGGTGAAATGCAGTTGGTAAGAGTGCAGTTAAGGAGACGCTTTTTCCTTTTCCTCCCTGACGTAACTCGAAAGGGGGGGGGGGGGATTGTGCTGTCTGTGAAACCGGACCAGCTACGACCTGTTTCTGCAGCCAGAACCCGCGCCGTGTCAGGCTGGGTTTAAACGTTTCAATAGAGGAGAAAAACAAAACACGTCTACCGGGGGTAGCGGCGGGGAAATTGACTCCCCCCCCCGCACGCACACACGCACACACACACACACACACACACACACACACACACACTCCTTACAGCCTCTCTGTCTGTACTGTGTTTTCATTCCGGGATTACCGCGGGGGAGTCCATTGAACGGCGATCAACTTTTCCTCACTTGATTTAGTAGAAAGCTTTGAATGTTATCTGGTAACGGAGGTAGCCTCGGTTCTTCCGCACAGAGAGAGAAGCTGCATGACTAATATCATAACCGAAAGCGGGTGTCTGTCTCTGAGAAGTTATCTGACACGTCTTTGCGGGTTGATCACATGCTGCAGTCTTTACCTCCTCAGAGAAACAAGACGCTAACAAGAAAACCTTACAGCTCTGTGAACGCTTTCTGAAAGTTTGGACAAAGACGTAAGCAAGCGGTGTTTAGTTTTTGATGAATGAATGAAGCTTCAAGCGAATAACCGACAGTAACAAGTGTCAATGAAGGCAACATGGCAGCGTCCCTTCCGGTTAAGATTTTCGAAATAAATGTCTCAAAGTGCAACGTGTCGAGTATGATTATTTTACACTTGGCTTTGGAAAAAAATAGGAAACCTTATAGCTTATGCAACTGATACTAGGCCTAAGAAATGTATCGAACAATTACAAATTTAATAAGCCGACAAGTAAGGCTTTGCACAATCATGAACACATGATAATGCTGTGTGTCATGTGTGCTTAATGTTTCAAAGTGTTTGTTTGTATGTGTTGGCTTTAGCCCCTACCTCAAAAACATAGTTTATTAATATGTATTTATTATACTGTATATTAGGGTTGTATTTTTAGAGCCTAACTGGTTAATCAGTCGATAATATCGGCTGATTTTAACATATTGTTACATGGATTACAACAAGCATTATCATCCTCCAGAGTTCAAGTGGTGATACACATACATGCTGCTTTCCTGTCAAGTGACCATCATGTCTTCATTGTCTTTTCCACAAGTGTTTGATAAGTGCATTTGAGGGATCACCTGTGTGTTTATGTTTATGTGATTAATGCATGTAATGATGCAGAAGTTGTAAAATCAACGAGTAATCGTGTTTAATAATTGTGATCTGAATATCAATCAAAATCATTGTGATTAGAATGTTTTACATAATCAAGCAGCCATACACAGAACTGTGCAAAGGCATTAGGACACTACTAGCTTTGTTGTTGTAGCAACTTTTTAATGACCATATGCCAATGTGCCACAGACTTTTGAGTTATATTTAATTATCAGTTAATTTGTCAGAGACAATACATATATCTATTAGCATGTTGGACTTTTAACCATGGCTATTTAGTTGTCCCTGGTTAGGCTGTGAGATAATGACACACATGGTACCACACTGTGAAATAGAAATAAAAACTGACATTTACAGCCCACATAAGTGCACAACATTAAAAAACAAACTTTTTCACAAAGGCCTCTACAGGCTGAAGTCAGTATTTACCTCCCTCTGACCCACGGCGGCCACTGTAGCCTTCGTACATGGGGCACACAACATAACCACTAGGCCATCCCGCGCTCTAGGAGAGACTGTCTTTAAGATAGAAGTAATCTTCTGGTATATTATCCCAAGCTTTCTTTTGGATTTAGGCTGTCTTTTATTTATCTATATAATCCCACGCTGCCACTATCATATTGATATGTTAACTCTGCAGAGGCCAGTCCATGACCGACATTGTTTCATCAGCTGTTTTTCTCTCATACTGTAACATGATTTTAGTGCTTTGTTCAGCAGTGTGCTTGGGATGGTCGTGATGTGATGCTGAAAAATACACAGTTCTCAATCAGCTGCTTTCCAGAAGAATCAGCTTGATTAATGACGATCACATTCCTAGAAAACAGGTGTCATGGCGGCCTATATTGCACAGAAATGTAGCTTCAGAGTAAATAATAGAGGCCTTTCATATCATACTGTAATGCATGTTCTCACAGTAATTGCTACTCTCCAAACAGTAATTATGTCTTGACATGTATACATGAGAACAGTGTAAACCAGTGAATGAACAAGAGTGTAATTACTGTGTAAGGATGTCAACATTTTCAATACTGTGATACTTATGGTGCACAACCATCTCAGATTTGTTTCAATGATGAAACGTATCAAAAGTACTGAAGCTAAAAAAAAAAAAACATCCTCTGTCACATTTTTTAACCCAACGTTGCAGTGAGAAGTAAAGGGAGACCTCCATTGGTCCGTTCAGATTTACAGATCGGTAAATACTGACTCTTCTTGAGTCTGTTTGTTGTCTCATAAAGATATAAAAGGCATGTCTCCTACAAACAGAGAGACAGCAGAGGAGCTGACGCTGTCTAAATTGCATCAATACATCGGTAACTAATATGCGTTTGGACAGTTTCAGCAGGAGTTGAAATGTTTGGTACTTAAAAACAAGAAATGTGTTGTTCCAAGGTCTTTTATTTTTGTTGCCATGGCATCTATATGGTTTGATTTTTGTTAGTATCATATCAAAGGTTTAACATTCTGGTACTATAGTCTGTCCTTTCAATCAACTAAACTAAACATGATGCTAACATGGTTGTTAACCTCTGTTGTTCTGTAACTTCTCCAGAGTATTTCCTTTTTTAATACGCTCGTAAAAATATATTGAGTGCAATAGCCTTTTTATCTTTATTTCTTAACTGTTAGATTGATTTAAGTGTCTAGAAACCTTAAAATACAGGCTCATATAGATGTTTAAATAAGTTGGAGGTTGTTTTCATGTGAAACTGTTCCCCAGTAAAAAAAGATTTTCCCAGGAAATTGTTTGGGGTTTGTGGTAAACCTGCCAAATCCTGACATAGCCTGTCTCACAGTTCACTGAATAAGCAGACGATTATAGTCAGAGTCTAACATCACTCTTTTCTCTGAAGTAAATGTATCATGAGAGGAATATTAGAAGTAGAAGTTAAATTCCAGCCTGGTTCTAATTTTCTGTGGGGAATGAGTTTTATTTTTAAGGCAGACTTTTCAAGCTTCCTGTTTCAGTCTGTGTCACTGACGGTGACTTGATCGAGCTGCATTTTTTATAACTTCTGACTAACATGATGTAATGCTGAAGAATTTGTTGTGTGTCCTTTAGTATGTGTTTACAGTGTACATCAAACGGTAAAACTTAAAGGGATCATTGTTAGAGGAAACAAGATATTAATCCTTCAACCTACAGTAACTCAAGTGTTACACAACTTTAAGTCTTTGGCTTTTTGTGCTTTTAATGGAGAGATAGGACAGTGGATAGAGTTGGAAATCAGGGAGAGAGCGAGTAGGGAATGACATGAGGGAAGAGAGCCACAGGTGGGATTTGAACCTGGGCCGCATGCTTGGAGGACCATAGCCTCATTAATCACTGCGCCACCAGCGCCCCAATTTTTATCATTATTTAAATAAAAAAGTCATCATGAAACCCGGCATTTAGTAAGCCTTTAACTAGTGATGTCAGCAACATGTGAATTAAGTCTTTTAATGTGTTCATTTTCATTAAGATGCTTATAGGGTAATGATATTTGTTCTTTTTTATTACATATTTAAAATAAGAAACAGACTTTTTTGCTGAGGTAAATTGAAGACAAGAACTAAGTCTCTTAAAGAAATAACAAAGGAAGCTCACAGGGGATGCTTTCTCTGACACTGATGACACAGGTGTGAAAAAAAGAAGTGTGTGGGGTGGGTAACACAACTCCAGCAGGCTGTGATTGTTTGTGTGTGTGTGTGTGTGTGTCTGTACATGCTCATGTCTCTAAGCAAAGCAGCCATGTGCAAAAATAATTATCACATTTTTATTAACATTCATTTAGTGTTTACATTCCTCCTCTTGTCCTGTCTTTCAGCCATGGAGAGCCTTGTGCATTACAGCAACCCCTCCCATGCCCTGTCGGTGCTGGGGGTCCTCAATGAGCAGCGCCTGCGGGGTCAGATGTGTGACGTAGTCCTTGTTGTAGCTGACCAGAGGTACCAGGCTCATAAGAGTGTTCTGGCTGCCAGCAGTGAGTATTTCCAGACCCTGTTCACACGGAGAGACGCAGAGTCCCTGAAAGTTGTAAACCTGGACTTCTGTGAGCCTGACGCCTTCGAGATCGTTCTGAATTACATCTACTCCTCCTCACTGTTTGTGGACAAAGGCAGCCTGGCAGCCATTCAAGAGCTGGGCTACAGTCTTGGAATCCCTTTCCTCACCAACATTGTGTCCACAAGGCCACATGCATCCTACTGTGTGTCCAGAAAAAGACTTTCGTTTTCTGAAGGGGAAGAGAATGATGTCCAGACAAGAAGCGTCATTGTGTGTCGGGTCCGGAATGAGACAGCCCAGCCATCTCGCTCAAGTTATCCCAGAAAGACATCAGAGAGAGCCTCGCCTCCACACTCTACACAGGATTCAACGCAGCCTCCTTCAGAACGAATCTCATATGAATCAGTCAGAAACTCTGAATCCATCAGCAGGAAATCTTCTGAACAGTCTGAAGCTGCTGACAGGAAGTACACCTATCCATATGCCTCTATATTAAAAGGGAATTCATCGCACATCGCATCTGTAAGGCCCCAGCTGACTTCCTCGGTGTCCTTCAGTGATGCAGAAGTGCAGCACATCAGACTGCAGTCTGCCATTGACCAGGACCCTAAAGAGGAAGAAGAGGAGCAGGGGCACCACTATCACTCCAAAGTGTCCTTTCAAGGTCAGGCCAGTGAGCCAAGCCCGACCATTGACCGGAGCGGACCACTCATAAAAAGCCTCCTCCGAAGATCTTTATCCATGGACAGCCCCGTTCCAGTTTTCTCGCCCACACTGGAGCTCAAGGATTTGCAAAACCGTGAACAGTCAGTTGTTAAAATGGCATCCAAAGCACGTGGGCCGGAAACATCTGCTCACAACGGCAGTTCAAAAAGAGTATCTCCCTTGGTTCTCGGGTCAAAGTACCACAGCAGGTATGATGTAGAAACTCAGGTAGAAAGAGAGCTCAGTGTGAAAGCCGAGCCCAGCAGTCCACTGGCGGACCCCATGGACATTATTAGGATAACAGTCGGAGATGTGTTGCCTGTCAATCTTAAAAACATGCAAGCAAATTACGACCAAGGTCCAAGGCAGGATTTCAATTCTGGGAAAAGAAGGGACCGGCCGGATAACAGGCGGTACCCGTTCAAGAAGAGCAAAATATTCAAAGAAGACCCCCTGACACTTGATGAGAACCTGACAGTACCTCAGAGCGCCTGTGACGACTTGAACGAGAACAATGTAGAGCCGCCTCAGAACAAAATCTTCAAATGCTGGAACTGTTTAAAGGTTTTCAGGTCCAGTGCTGGCTTACATCGTCATGTAAATATGTATCACAACCCTGAAAAGCCATATGCTTGCGACATCTGCCATAAACGCTTCCATACCAACTTCAAAGTGTGGACTCACTGCCAAACTCAGCATGGTGTGGTACAAAACCCAGCCTCGTCCTCCAGCTCCTCTGTACTGGATGAGAAATTTCAAAAGAAGCTGATAGATATGGTGCGAGAGAGGGAAATAAAGAAAGCATTGCTTTGGAAGTTAAAGAGGAATAAACAGAGTTTGCAATCTCCTGCGCTTCCCAAAAAGAGATCGAGGCCCAGCTATATATGTCCGTACTGTGGGAAAGTATTTGTGTTCCAGTCTCAATACAGACAGCATTTAAGGACACATCCTGCTGAAAAAGCTGACGAGGAGGCAGCAGACGAGAGCATCCTCTATCAGAAACAGGATGAAATCAGTCAGCAGAAGGACTCCGACGCTGGTGTTTACTCCTGTAGACTTTGTAACATGAAGCTCTCTTCCCTCTTCGAACAAGGTGACCATGAGAGGGGCTGTCGACATGCAACTGTTTGTCCCTACTGTGGCCTCCGTTTCTCCAGTCCAACGGTCAAGAGGGACCATGAAGCACATTGTAAATACAAGAAACTGACGTGCCTGGAGTGCATGCGGACCTTCAAGTCGTCCTTCAGCATATGGCGTCACCAGGTTGAGGTCCACAACCAAAACATGATGACTGTTAAAGACCAGATTCACCTGCAGCAACAAGAAAACAACGAAGAGTCTTCTGAAATGCTCCAAGTGGATCACTACCAAGACGAGCCGCTGGTGACCGGGGGTTCAAGAGAGACCATCAGCTTCAGTGACTCCTCAGGTCCACCAATGTACGACTCAGAAGACTCCTCCTCTTATGTGCCTGAGGACCTGAGCATTGGGCACCATGGCAAGCTGGTAGTGAAGGAAGAGCCATTAGAAGAGGCTGTGTGTGAGATGGAAAACGCTGATGCAGAAAATGCTGGGCTTGAGGAACCCGGCGTGTGGCCATGCGAGAAATGCGGGAATCTTTTTAGCTCTCGCAAAGACCTGGAACGACACCAGGAGCTGCTCTGCCACATAAAACCATTCATCTGTCACATCTGCAACAAAGCCTTCAGGACCAACTTTCGCCTTTGGAGCCACTTTCAGTCTCACATGTCGACTGCTAACGAACCTGGAGCCAAAGAGATCGACAGACAACCCTCGCCTCCATCTCCATCCCCTCCAACGACCCCTCAGGACTCTGAACACCACTCGCCACAGGCCTCCGTGCTCAAGTCCACCCAGGCAGTGCCAGTGGCTGCAGCAGTGGCAGAGGAGTCCAGCAGCCCAGAGCCCTGTAGCTCATCAGTAAACAAGACGAAGAGGCCCGAACTTGAACGTCAATCCAGCAGCCGAAGCCCTCTGTCAAGGTCAAACAGCATGGAGAATCCAGTAGGCCCTCAGGAATCAGACACCCTCTTTTACCACGCTCCATCTCTCTCTGCCCTGACGTTTAAGAGGCAGTACATGTGCAAACTCTGCCACAGGACCTTCAAGACGGCCTTCAGTCTCTGGAGCCACGAGCAGAGTCACAGCCACATGTAAGCATCAGACAAGCAGTAGTTCCTTTTGAGAGACAATGTAAGAATTAACACACCTCAGCCTACAAAACGAAGACTTTGAATGTATAGCTTATTTGCTTGCCTCCAATGTCATATATTAAAGTGGCCATGTTCAGTAGAGGTGTAAACGTGAATGTGCAATCAAGTGCTAGATTCCTCCGTGAGATGAGATGATTATAAATGGTTTATTTTTTTTCCAAATGAGATATAAGCATTGACCTATTTTAAATCTTTTGGTTGTCTACTTGTACTTCTGTGTGTAGGTGATGTTGAGAAAACAAGGTACAGAGTTGCATCTTTTCATTTTTCAGCTGTACCACTTTGTACAAGAGTTGTTCCAATACTGATACCAATACAAATTCCGATACTGATACCTGTGCCAGTATTGGATTTGCCTTAGATGCAATCTGAAATGTAGTATTAAGTAAAGACAGGTACACCAGTCAATGCATTGAGCAAATTCTGTTATTAAAGGTCACATATTCTCCTCCTCTTCAACCAGTTTAAGTAAGTCTCAGAGCTCCTTAAAACATATCTGTGAAGTTTCTTGTAGTAAATCCACTCTGATCCTGTATTTGATGATGTTTATAAACCCCTCTATTTCAGCCCTGCTCAGAACAGGCTGTTTCTGTGTCTGTACCTTTAAATGTAAACGAGCTGTGTCTGACCACGCCCCCTCTCTGGAAGGGCTCGGGTGGCTTGGGCTTTCTTGCACCATGCTTTAATGTTTACGGTGAGAAGGCAGACTCAGAGGGCAGAACAAATACCTAGCTGTGGGAGTGTCACCCACCTGGGGGAGGGGTTACTGCCCTTTGTGATGTCATGAAGGGAAAATCACCAAACGGCCTGTTTGAGTACACATTTTCTGAAAAGTGGAGCAAGGGAAAGACGGACAGGATGGACTTTTATAATCGGGGGTTCTTCAGGCAAACTAGAGACACATATTAGTGTTAGAGAAACATAGTAAAGGGTATTTTGCATAATATGTGACCTTTAAAATCAAGTTATTTATCTGGATATTAGTTCTTATTTGGCACTTAAAAACACTTGTCTATATTTAGCAATGATGTGTATAGTTCAATGGCTGCTAAAAAAAATTGTAATATCCAATTGTCTCTCATTTGTATTGGATTTGTGCTTGTACAGAAACAGATACAGAAGTTTAGGTGTTGGAAAAATTGGTATGGGAACATCTTTGTGTCTGAAGTAACGGTATACTGAAAACAGGAACAACTTAAAACATTGTTTTCTCTGATTGTTGGTGAAGTGCTTTAAAAATTTCAGAGGTTGGTGGTGAATTAACAAGTAGTGCTTTCGCTTTTGTATCAGATCTATCTCTTTGTGAGTGACATCCCTTAAAATAATATTGGTGGCCTGAATATTGTATTCAATATGCACTTTGTGTAACAGTTTGATTCTGTTATAGAGGGACAAAGTACAGAGTGTTGGCTTGCAGATGTAGAAATTACAAAAGTGGCCCAACATTTTTTTTTTCCAAATAATATTACGCAGTCTTTGCATTTGTTCTCTCATGTTTTGCCTTTTGTAATTTTGCTAAATGGTTGAATAAGACCTAAAAGTTACTTCTTGTAAAGTACATCAAACACATCCCAGGCAACCATTGTTTAAGCATTGCATCTCGTGTTGTAGCCTTCTTAGGTTGCTTCATTCAGCACTTAACATTTAGCTTCCTTATTGTTAGACCGGTTTATCAATTCAAGTATGTGTATACAAATGAACGAGGCAGTGCAATTATATGCCAGAAGATAAAAGGTTATATTTTCTTTCACGGGGAAATTATTGTTGAAAGTGTAAAAGGTGCTTTAAACAGATTACAAGTGAAATTTGGGAAACTGTATGTGGAAATAGGAGCCTGAGTTGACTTGATAGTTGATACCCTCCTAAATGAAATATTTGGCTTCTAACAGCAAATAGAAATAAATCTAAATCTCTGTGAAGTTTCTCTCAGTCATCCAGGTCGTAGTCATTCAAAGTGTGATCTGACAGACAAGTGGACATGGTTGAAAGTATTAAAGGTCACATATTCTCCTCCTCCTCAACCAGTTTAAATAAGTCTCAGAGCTCCACAAAACATATCTGTGAAGTTTCTTGTTCTAAATCCACTCTGATCCTGTATTTTACCATGTCTATAAACCCCTCTATTTCAGCCCTGCTCAGAACAGGCTGTTTCTGTGTCTGTACCTTTAAATGTAAATGAGCTGTGTCTGACCACACCCCCTCTCTGGAAGAGGATGCGGCTCTGACTTTCTCGCTCCATGACCTATTGTTTACGGTGAGAAGGCAGACTAAGAGGGCAGAACAAACACCTAGCTGTGGGAGTGTCACCCATCTGGGGGAGGGGTTACTGCCCTTTGTGATGTCATGAAGGGAAAACTCTAAACGACCTGTTTGAGCACACATTTTCTGAGAAGTGGAGCAGGGGAAAGACGGAGAGGATGGACTTTTTGATTTGTAGACAGACTAGGGACACATATTAGTGTTAGAAAAACATGGTGAGGTGTATCTTGCATAATATGTGACCTTTTAAATATCGTATTTATCTTATAGGTGCTTGTCAGAACTCTTGAGTGTTTCATACGAACTTCAGCGATGTCCTGCTGCCTTTTGGATCAAGCTCTAAATTATCCTAAAATACTCATAACAGGCTTTTTTTTAAAGCACACTGCAGCATAGTATATCATTTCATAATCTAGGCTTTAACTCAAATCATGAAAATGAAAAGTACATGATCAATTGGTGTATCATTTAAGTTTTTACAATGCGATGCATCACAAGTCTGCCACCAAAGTGCAGCACCAGTGTTGTATGTACATATACTGGTTTGTGCAGTCAAACGAATAGAGTAATATACCGACCTTTACAATGAGGCCTTATGCAACATTTGACATATTTAGTCTCTCTTATTTCACATATAAAAAGCACAATAAAGTTTCAGATGACTTATGACTCAGGCTTTTCAAAGGTGGTGGAGTGAAGAGAAAGGAGGCGCGAGGAAGCAAACGTTTTATTCTACCAATGAGCAGAGTGTTCCTGCTTCCTAAGATTTATTATGACGAATGTGTTTTGATTGTATTCCAGCTGTTTCACAATTGTATTCTTGTATAGTATATACTTAACTGCTTTCAGCTTGATGGATTAGGACTTTGTCATAAATTATTACGATTGTGATGTATTTGGGAGAAGCTGCATTCAAAGAGTGCTCCACACAAACATTGGGGATTTGTTGTTCCTCTCATCGATGAGCTGTATTGTGATGTTTTGATTCTTTGGAGAACTTCTGTAATGATGATAGTGCTCTTATTTTCTTGTGATGAAAAACTTCCTGAAAGTTTCACAGAAATGATTACAATTATGTATATGGAAGTGTTTGTATCTTCGATTTTGTACCGATTTTGTTAGAAAACAAAAGTTTGATCTTTTTAGTATTCTGTGCTCTCACTGCAATAATGAATATTTGTATCTGCATCAGTTGCTTTATTGTTGCTTTTGGAGACTTGCAGCTGTTTTGTGTTTAGGGTTTTCTACAGTTTTTGTGCTTAATTTCTGTAATAAAGAGTAACAATGGAGTATATATATATATATACAACCATCTGTAGTATTTGCCTTTTATTTTTCAGCACAAAAACAAACCACCGCTGATTCAAGTCTTTATTAACTTTAAGATTTCCATTAACCCTCATTAAGCTTGTTTGGTGCTACTTATGTGAAACTTACATATTGATGTTCTGAATGCAATATTTCCTCTGTTACACTTCTACTTAAAGGTGGAGTCAGTAGAGATGTTGGTAAACACAACATTCAACCTGGGCCCCTCCTCCCAGGCTCATTGTCAGCAGAAGTGCACACACTTACTGCAGGGTTAGCGTACGTTTACTGCTCGTATCTGCACTGCAAGCTACTTGTGAATATCACATTTATTGTGATGGAAAAGCCGATAATTTAGCATGCTAGCACAAGCTAACAGCTGTGTCTTGCACCTGCCTGTCCAACAGAAAGCAGGGCAACTCTTAAGTCTGCAGGTGAAAGCCAACCCGAAAGTACACCCTCATTTTGGAACGAGCTTTAAATGCGTAACTTTTACCTCTGATTATATTTCCTCTTCTTTTGCTGCATTCATGTTCTCCTAGAAGGGTCCCAGTTTCCGAGTTGTGAAGTCGTTCTTGCGACTTCATAATCATAAAAGTATCTAGCTGGTTTCCCTGAAGTTGCCAACCCCGAGTTTAAATATTTGTGTTACAAAAGTATTGCATACATTCTGGTTAAGCACTGTTAACTAGCAGCCAGTCATCAAAGTGAGTGCTGTGTGCGGACGCACAAGTCATCCTGTTGGCAAACGACCCCGAGCCGAGGGGGAGATGGGGGGGTGTTTTTCAAGCTGAGAGCTGGAAACTAAGGAGTGAACTCGGGAGGCGTTTGTTTTAATTTGGAAAAATTGCAAACTGGAAATCCTGTCCTGCCCATAAGTGAGGTCACGATCCCTGAAAATGTGTGCAGGGAGGAAATTGAGGAAACTGTGTTTTTTCAAACATCCACAGCATTTTCATTAAAAGAAATGAGATTTCTTTTTCTTACATGGTGATGTCCTGTGACTTCCTCTTTGCCAGCAGTTTTTTTCTCATCTCAAATGTGATGATACAAGTGTGAATGTTTGAAGGAGCTATGGTTGTCAACTAAATACCCCATTATTTACAATTAAAACATTTATTGCTTAAGATGAACAATAAGTTACACATTTGACATCAGCAACGCAGGTTCTTAAAGAATTTAAAAGATAAAAATTGTTAATAATTTCCCTGTCATAGTTGCATTCCTAGATGGTTGGAGGAATCCATAATGATGAAGAGAATACTAAAAAATCAAAATATATGTAAAATCAACATTACATAATCAAGAATCTTAAGGTGCAAACAAAAACCGAACTATAGCAGATATATCAGAAGCAACAGATGCGTTTGCTTTGCTGACGCTGCGATGTTTTTCCATGTTTTAAAAGGAGACTGCATGACTACAGAGGCAGTTATGAATCATCCAGATCTTTTTTTCTCTCTGTCCTCGAGCATCCTCACAGTGCCAGAGTGTCTTTGATCAGCCTTCTCATGGTTGTGCTCACAGAGGTGCCCAGAGAGTCAGTGATCTGAAATGTGATTTTGTAGAGATAGGGCTGCACATCCTTGAGACTGGTGTCAAACACGTTGTCCACTTCGGACTGGGTGGGCATCTTTGGCAGGTACTCGTGGCGGTTAATAACCTCGACAACGTTGATGACCTTCTCGCCCAGCTTCTCGCCCACTTTCTCCCTGCAGATCTGTCTCTCCTGCTCGTTGGCCAGGTTCACAACGTTGACCTTGATGCTCCACACTTCCCAGGGGATACACTCGTCAGAAAAGGGCCAGCGGGACTTCTTCTTCTGGTAAAACTCGAGTGAGATTTGCCCCATGCCATCACTGCCTGAGATGCTTAAGGCATCCTGCAACCAAGGACATGTTATTTTAATTCACAACAGTCTTAAAAATAAAAGACAGGACGATGCATAGGATCAATACAAAACCACAATTTACTGAATTGCAAAAAATATACATAAATGCTTTGCTAAAGAGAGGCAAATGTAAGTATATGCACATTTCAAGTTTACTTTTACTTTAAATTTTATTTACCATTTTGTTTTGTACCTTTTGCACTATTTAGAATTTATTACTGTAAATATTATTTATCTTATTTTACCTTATTTTATTATTTTGGTGGGACGGAGACAAACGCAATTTCGATTCCACTGTATGTGTGGCATATTTTGAAATTGACAATAAAGTTGACTTTGACTATATCTCCAGAGCTAGAATAGGTACTGTTAATAATTTGATTAAACCAAGACTATTCCATTTTCAGACACATCAAGTAACTTTAGACTGTAGAAACTAGGCTTGTGAAGCCTCAAAGATTTCACCAGCACTACTCCAGCTAGTTTGCTTTAAGTATTGTTTTCATAGCATCATAATAAGCTACGTGAAATCTCTGCAGGCTTCCTTATAATGCACTCGTCAAATTACAGGCCTGCAAAAGCATTACAGTCAACAATCACAGACCGAAACCAACAATTACCTTGAACTCAGACACAGCTTTCCTGATCACTCTGTCCAGCTCTTCCGAGGACACCCTGACGAAGCTAAAGTCGATGAAGTCGCAGTCGATGTCCAGTGTCCCCACCGTCCCGATGGAGTAGGTGCCTTCCTTCTTGTAGTGAAACTTCCCGGTGCTTCGATGCAGTAAAATGGTGTGCAGCAGGGCCAGCATCGATTCTTCGACCTGCCTCGCCTCCACGGTCACCTCGAGCACTTCTGAGCGGCAATTCATGGCAAAATTATGATTATGTCCATTTACAGGCGACGACACAGGCAGGGAGATATGGCTACTGTAGCCTCGATCGTTTGTTTACCTCTCCGAAGGGGCGGAGCCTTATCCACACTGTGTGTTCAAGTACTTACATACATAAAATACTCTCTTTTTTCACCAAGACTCCCCTACCTCCAGGTGTAATGTGTACGGAATAAGTAAAGAGGCATTGTAACATGAGCTAGCCCTCTAACTAGCTAGCTAGCAAGCTCAGTGTTTGGTAGAAAAATCACGATGACGCGGTGTAATCTACGGCAAGTAGTGTAGTTCAAACCAACCCGTTTGAGTTTTTTTTTATCTAATTGTGTTAATAAGGTTTACTTTCATGACAAAGCAAGCAATAGTATTACTGGTTTTATGATACTTTCTGAGAATCATAATTAGCCTAAATGGAATTGGACAAACGCTGGTTGCAAGAAAACAACAATAAAAGTTTCGCATTTTTCGTGGTGCATTCTGGGATACGTTGTTTTTTTTGCCACATATCCGTTTCAACAAGGCAACTTTTTACAGTAACCCTGCATTCATGTGCAACTCTGATGCTCGGAGTTCCCAAGTTAAAAAGTCGTTCTTTTGATTTCAGTGTGTTTATGAGCTTTAAGTCGTAATATTAATTGAACTGGTGGTATAATAAAAAAAAGTTTTGATTTTAATAGCCCCGATTACAATCCGACGACAAATAAATCAAAATTATCTGAAATATAGAATCCATTAAAAGTTCATTACCATCTAAATTTAATCTATTTTCGTCTTTGATAATTTTCATAATATGACATCAAGCTCATCAAGTCTGCGAGATGGGTAACAACATTTTCTCCTACTTTCCGAGTTGTTTTTCCAACTTAAGGGTGCGTTAACTGGTCATTCCCAGTGAGCAACTAATTTTTCCGATTATTTTGACAGCCCATGAATGCATGGTGAGCTGAACCTGACGATCTACGGTAAGTCGCGGGGCACAAAACAGCCGTTTTAGATAATATGGCAATAACTGTGGATTGTTAACGGGATTCCCGTTATCTACTGTAGAACTAGAGTGTATCTCTGATTAAATTAATCTCCACTGGGTACAAAAGTACACAAATCAAGTGTCAGTTTTGGAAATTCGCCTTGTTTTTCGCGGCCGTAGGACACCAACTTTGCCGCAGTGCATTCTGGGAGATACAGTCTGTGCCACATATCCGTTTCGAGAAGGCAAGTTTGAGCAGTCCGACAAGTCGAGCCGTAAAGGACTCCACTCCTCACTTCCAGGATGTTTCCCCGGGACTCGTACTCAAAAAACTGGATATTATTTGAAGGAGCTTAACAGCAGACTGTGGAGAATGATCACCTTCGGGACACTTTGGTGGCGCTTTAGCTAACGAAGAATAGCTACTTAATAAGCGAGCCGTGGAGAAGATTAGCTAACTAAGCTAACGACCATATTCAATGAGGGGAGGGAAGATATTGACCTTTTCTGCAGGTTAAGAGAATACAGTTTGATCATGTGTTTGGTCTGTTTAACCAACTTTGGTAATACGACACCTCTGTGTGGCGTTTAAAGGCTGCAGCGGAGTTCTGCATTATGGATAACAATAAACATAGTTTACATTGGGGGTTGAGATTAGTGCAAATATCAGATTCATTGATTTAGCCGATCCCTGGACAAATACATACTATGCGGTAGCCAGGTCATTTCTCAGAGGAGGTGTGTTAAGCCGTGATCATCATCTGCGAAGAATGTCCGACTTAGAAAGTTCATATTTTGGTTTGGAGGATCCGCAGTGGCTGTGTATGGTCACACTTTTCCTCGCATCCGTCGTTACTCTACTGCTGTATTTCATACAGTATTTCCAGCATCGCCGCGTAGGAGACGAGCGGGGAGCAGGAGAGGACAATGAAGCCGCCTCTCTGCTGGGATGGGCTCTGTCACTGAGGAGCTGGAAGAGTCAGTGGAGAGGGGTCTGGTGCAGGGCTCTGAACCAAGAGTCCAGGAAGCGTGGGGTAAGTCTCATGACCACAATGAACTCTGTGAGCTGTGGCAGCCAGGCCAGGTGACTCCAATAAAGACAGCGCACCTTGTCATGTGATGTAAACTGGAGAACGCAATATTGTTTTCTGCATAGGAATAACAAAAACAAAGTCAAATCAACATGAGCCAGCTGCACACTGTCAACATGCACATGAAAAGTTACATAAAAATACACCACCTGTACCTGTTTGTGAAATAATCTCGACTGCTTAATTTGTGATAGTGGGGGACTGCGTTCGCGCTCTCCCTTGATTTTCTTTAATTTTTTAATGTTTTTAATTATTTTTATTTATTTAATTTTAATTATTTTTTGGGCGGCAGTAGCTCAGTCTGTAGGGACTTGGGTTGGGAACTGGAGGGTCGCCGGTTCAAGTCCCGGTACGGACCAAAAATGGAAGTTGGTCTGGTAGCTGGAGAGGTGCTAGATCACTTCCTGAGCACTGCCGAGGTGCCCTTGAGCAAGGCACCAAACCCCCTCCCCACCATCAGCTTAGGAGCGCCTGCTGTGGGCTGCTCTGTCACTCTGACATCTCTCCATTAGTGCATGTCCACAGGATCCTGTTTGTGTGCATGTGTGTGTATTTCAGCCTATGTGTGTGGTGCATGACTTACAAAGTGTAAAAACTGAAATTTCCCCTTGCGGGGATCAATAAAGTAAATCTTAAAAAGGAATAATATGAAATAAATGCTCCTTTAATGAAGTAAGAAAAATAGAAAGTGTTCCTTTCCTGCGTCATGCCGTGTATTTTGCAGGAAGTTTTTTGAGTTTTTCACAAGGCGGAGCAGGGTGAAGAGGGACAGAGAGTGAGAGGGGATAAAAGCAGACTGGAGGCTGTACAGAAGAAACCTATAATACAATACTACTGTCCCCCAGGGGAACATTAGTTGTCACAGCCTCGCACAGTTGGTACACAGGTATACATTTATAAACACGAAGTAACACATGGACAAAGAGAGAGACTAGTCAGCGGGGAGGCTTTTTAAGTTAATGTTATTTTAACAAGCCATAAACTATATGATGGATATATATATATGAACATATATGGATATTTATTAAAAACTTGATACTCCCAGTCTTATCGTCTCTTTTGTAAACATTAGTCACATTTTGACTCAATCAATCTTTACTTGTATAGTGCCAGTTCATAACAGATGTTATCTAAGACACTTTACAAAAGAGCAGGTAAAAGACCTTCCTCTTTGTTCTATTATCTACACCCAACATTTATCCAATCATGAGCACTGAGCAACACTTAGCGAAGTTAAAGTTACAAGGAAAAAGGTCCGTTCAGGGTGACTGTTTGCACTCAACAGAAACACTCTTGCACCACATCCGATCCATCTGCATCACATTTCTCGCTTGCTTGGAATTTTCAAGTCCGAACATCTGCACTGTTGTTGCCAATGTGACGGCTCATTGCTCATTCATTGGCAGCTTTACTTTCCCTTTTTCCCTGCCTTGTGTTAGAGGGTTTATTTTCCATTTCGCTTTATTATTTCTGTCTTGTGTTCTTCCTCCTCAGGGTCCTGTTTTGTTAACTTTTGAAGAAGATGATGTTGAGGCCACTGAGCTCGTTGTCAGAAAAGTGTCCAGCTTTCAAAAGTCTGCCAGGAACAAGGTACACACTCAACATATCTTCTAACTTCTTTTTGATAATAAAGTGGAAGAGTTTTCCTTCACAGCAAAATTCCCTTTTTACTTGATCTGCACAGTATCATAACATTTCCTATAAGTAGATAGTTGTTGTAGTGTAAATATCAGCTGTGTCTGTATGTGTTGGGGTACAAAGCAGGGGCAAGCTGACGTCTAACTGGGGCTCCATATGATTGGTTTAATGTTTGCATGCTCAGTGAGGTGATTGGTCAATTTGGACAAACTCAGACTTCAAATTGCTCTTCGAAACGTGTTTTTAGCTCGTGTCTCCAAGGTCATGACAGTACCATTTTTGGTCCACACTACGTTTACTGTATCTTTAACGCTGTTTCGGTTTCTGTCTTGCCAACAATCAATGATTATTTTCCGGGAGACTTCTCGATCAATCGCCCTCTTGTTGAGCTCTGGCGCTTCCTCTGCCTCTTCCCAAAATAATATACTTTGTTCTCCACGGCAGCTTCAGCATTCGTCTTTTTTTGCAGTGGACACCTATAGATTTCTAATCTCCTTGTTTATGTTCTCCTCTGACCGAGCCTGTCCTACAAATCAATCTCATCCCTCCTTAATTTAGTGCAGAGGAAACTACTCTACGACCAGTGCTGCATAGAGCCGCAGGGTACAAGAACTGACTCATCAACTCACTGTCTGCTATAGCATGTCTCCACTTTAATTAGATTTGTTGAATCAGTGTGCTCGGCATCTTGGTCCACATGCTTTTTTATTTAAAGTGAAACAACACAAAAAAAAAGGACACTGTACACTTCTGCGATGCTTCTTTTTTTTTTATCTGTCATGCAGGTTACGTGCCAACCTGCTGCAGACTTTGTAAACAAACTGGCATCACAGGGCTTTTTTTTTTAGAGAGGTCAGATAGGGGCGGATTGCTTTCTGGGTTGCTGTTGTCGGCTTTGTAGTGCTCCATTTGCAAACTCAGCCCTTTCTTTGTGATCATCACGATATGTTCTGAAAAACCAGGTGCTATGTTGTCGAGTGCAGGGAGTTTAATGAACAGAGGCTTATTTTTACCCCCATGGAGGGAACGTGTGTGCGCGTGCGTGCTCTAAGACGCTTACATAGCTGTCAGGCTCAGCACTGAGAAGAAGCAGGCAGGCAGGAATGTACTAACACCTATGTTTATGTTAAGGTTTCCCCTCAGAGCCAGCTACACACACACACACACACACACACACACACACACACACACACACACACACACACACACACACACACACACACACACACACACACACACACACACACACACACACACACACACACACACACACACACACACACACACACACACACACACACACACACACTCTGATTGGTAGGGGATGAAAATGTTTCTGGTTGGAGACAGTTCCCCATCCTGTGATGATTCTCTCTTCCAGATGCATTCCAGTGCAGTGAAGGTGATTTATTGGACTCACAGATGATTGAATGTGCTCATAATGTCGTTGGAAGCACATGTTTTTCACTTTTCACAGTTCAGTTCAGTGTGAGCTGCTGCTGAGGCACATCGTTTTCTCTTTGTTTTGTGATGAGTTTTAGCAACAGTCAGGGGTGTAAACACATCTCACTTGTTTTTATTTCCGTTTTTGTTTGTGCCAAGCTTTTTGTTGCTTAAGACTCCACACACACACACACACACACACACACACACACACACACACACACACACACACACACACACACACACACACACACACGTATGAGCAGTTAATTTGACACATGTATGGACATACGCTGTTTTCACACATGCACTCCTGAACATTTCAGGACAGTCTGCCTCTGAAATCTTTCTGAGATGCTTTTTCACACATTTCTCTCACAGTGTCATGTTTCCTGTCTGATGGGTGTTGAGAGGGGATTTCTGACAAGGCAAGAAATTACATAAAAAGACGCAGCAGAAATCTAAGACGGGGGATGAAGTCCGACAGTCCGACACTATATAAACAGTTTTGTTTTTCTGTATATCGATGCTTTGTGTACTTGGACGTATCCACAAAGTATGAAGCCGCTTCTTTACATGCACAAAGTTCCCTCAGGTTGCTAAACAGTTGCTTGACATAAATCTAATCATCCCCGCCCACTCACTAGAAGTAAATTTTTCTGAAAATTCCCCGCTGCTTTCACACACTGGCTCAGCCCGATGTCACGCAGAAATGACACCAGGGGGGCTTGCAAATTAACACCTGGGTAAAGCCGGTAGTTCACATTTGCAGCTCACACTGAATATCTGGGGACATTTTCAAGAGTTTAGTAAAGCTGTGAAAAAAAGTTCTTATTTGTTTATCTAGTTTAAAGTACGGAGGGATTCATCTTAAGCTAATCGTTAATATTTCAAAGCAAAAACATTCATCCAAATCTTCATCTTTATAACTGATTTAAAGCCCTGTGTGCAGTAAAGATGTACCCATAGATTTGAAAGATTAGAGGTCATAAAATATCTTAAAGTCTTCTTTACATGTGAGCCTGTGAGTCTTAAACTTTGAATGTCACATGGCCTGAGACATGTGATAAGATGTTTTTAATTTTAGTGGATCTGCTTGTTCTCGTGATAATTCACGGCATTAATGTCAGCGTCATCAAAAACTGTGAACACAAGAGAGAAGATGGGGAAATGCAAGTTGAAGGAAATTTGGCTTCAGTATGAAAAAAAAAAAATGGAGGATGGTTGCCAGGGGCGATTATGAACGTTTGAGGCGATTTGCAAGATGTGCAAACTGCAGGACATTGAAAGTCAAAGCTGCTGAGTCCATCATGAAGTCTGAAAACACTGATGCCATGGTTTCAACAAATTGTTTCCATTTTCTTTGTTGGGGTCTTTAACAAATCTAAACCTTTGTTTAAATAGTGTGCAGCAGCCACTCTGTATTAGTGAGCTGTGAGTGTTTCCCTCTGTAAAGTGCTCTTGTCGTTTAGGCTCATAAGACTAATGCCTCGCTCTGTCTTCCCATCAGGCCGCTTCCTGCAGTGTGGTTGGAGAGCAGCTTCAGTTCTCCGTCAGCGCAGCGTCGTCATCCATGTCTCCAACCAATCCTCGGAGATACACAGTGTGTGTATCCCCGCTGGAGCTGCAGGTAAATGCTCTGCAGCTTGTAAAGTGAATGACAATGAAACAATACTCATTTGTTCTCTGTGAGTATCCCTTTAACAAAGTTACACCTTCTGTAAGTCACTGTGGTTCAGTTTAATGAGCGGTTTTATTGAACAGGATGTGCTGCCCGGCATTAGATCACTGCTGGCTGGAGGCTTAGATTAAATGGTCGGGATATCTTTCTGTGCTTGGCAAACGTCCCGAAGACCTCATTAAAATCACTGTCAGGCCCTTTCCCCGTATGCCTGCCATGCTTTGGCTACATTCACTTTGAAGAGGGCCGCTCATGATTGATGGAACTCTGAAGTTATGACTAACAGCTACTTGTTCCCGACTGGAAATTACACAGATTCATTTCATTTACAATACTTGAATCTGACAGGGTGATTTTTTTCACTCCTCCTTGTTAAAGCTAGCGGTGTTTAAAGGAAGCAGAGTCATGGGTGATGTGTAGTGTATGTTTTAAAGGGAAGCGTGCATTAAGCCGAGCTTAGCTTTCACTCTGTCCTTAGCTCAGTGTTAATTCTTCACCCGTGTGTTTGGATAAAAGCAGCTATACAGGCTAACCCAATTGTATTAAAGGCTATTTATAAACCAATAAGGTGCTTCTCATCCTTCCTGAGCTCATTGTACCATAAATACAAGCTGCAGCGAGAGGCCGTAAGGCTAAAGTCAGGATTAGGGCCGGGGGGAGGTTTTGTTTTGGTTGTGGATCAGCTGTTGTTGCAGGAACATAAAGGAAGCCTCTCGTCTCCTTTTCACTCTGATGATGGCAGCTTTAGTCTGGAACGGTCAGAGAGCCTCTTTAAAACGTCTCCATCCATCCATCCACTGGATCATTTGTTTGCTCTTTACAGAGATCCGTGCTAGAATAGCCCCGTCTAATGATGTCCTGATGTAATGTGAGGGGACAGGAGCTCTGGGCAGTTACTGTACGTGACAGTACACTGTGGTGGTGGTGGTGTGCTGCTGCTTGGTGTACTTTGCCTTTGAACACACTGCTGCACCGCATGGCCTGCTTACATGTCATCAGGGACGTTCATGTGACTTTGCAGTTTTCATCTTTGAAATGCAAACACAATATTTACATGAATTTGTGTGGTTTCACAACAGGCAGGACTCAAGCTCAAGTCCATTCACCATTTGTGATAATTGTGGAGGACGTCTGGTGTTTTTTGATCCAGTGAGAATCTACGATGTCTTTAATTTGTAATGTACAACATCCAGGGCAATTTACCCCCCTTATGTCAGCACACACAGAGGTCCTCTTATAGTCGTGATCCCGTCTGAAACGGGGTGGTTTTTGTTGTTTTTTAAAGAAGGTTTCTGCTGACCCTCTGTTTAATGCTTTTCAAACCTTTACATCATCATTTTGCACAAGACCTTCCTTTAACATGCTCTCCCCCCAGCACCACTCCTCACCTAAACCAGTATTTCCAGTAGTTCAAAACAGGCCTGACAATGAGTCTCTCCCACTCTGTTACAATGAAGAAGAAGATATTGTTGTCTGGATGTTATCAGGAGTTTATCTGTGAGATCTGGCTCAGAGAGAGAGAGAGAAAGCCTCTTTCATCCTCATGTTGAATTACAAGTCAGTTTGTAGACGACGATGTTCCAGCTTCCCCTTTCTGTTTGACAGGAAGAAGGGGAGGAAGCGGGTACCTTAGTCAGCACTAGGTGTTGTGGCTGGGAGTCTTTTCCTATGGGCCCAGTTGTCCCGTACCGTACTTAAGAACGATTGCGCCCCCCCCCCCCAATCACACTGACTAGCCAGTTATGATCACGGTTACCTCTTGTATATAACGTTGTAACTTGTAATACAACACATTATATATTTATGAAGTGTGCTTATGTTACAAGACAGACAGACTAGGAAACAAATTTAAAAAAGGATGTGCGGTCGAGTCTGCATCCGCACATCGGAGAACAACACAGAGAACATGACCGCTACTCTACTGACTTTGAGTCATGTTAGTCAGATACAGACAGAACACTCCGGATGTCTTCCTAATAAAGGCTGTTTACGTTGTTTACCCGCTTGCTTGTTCTTGTGCATGAACTGTACCGTGCTGAAGCACACCTCGTCCAAGCGTTCAGAGGAAGTGCACGGATTGGAGCGCTCACAGTAGTCAAACGAGCTGGACTTTGGGGTTGAAGCGGGCTTAGGCATGGTACTGATTGCCTTGTGTAAATGCACTTTGAGTGTCAAACAAGGAGAGGAGTCCATTAAATTATATTCTGAACGTCTAAGGTCCTTCTCTGAGAGCTCCGACCTCCATTTGTGGAGCGTTTGAAGCGCAACAGTTTCCTTCTTCTTTACCATTACAACTATCATCTGTTCATAAAGCCTGATGAAACGGTGTATTAGTCTGCTGTATGAACTACACTGCACTCTGGAGTTTGTTTATTGTAGCAAACAGAGTGACAACTGTCTGCTTCGTTAATCATCAGTGAGTTCCTAATGCACCTGGTAGATCTGCATATTACATTTACATTTTTAGATCAGTTGAAGGGAAAGAGACCGACCCAATACGACAGGTAAATACAAGCTCGATTTAAAGACAACTGGACATAGTTGCAGACTTTGAAGACATTTCACCTCCTCTCTAAGGCTTCTTCACTTCTAAACTAACTGGCTGTGGATCATTAGCATGCTGATGATCAAGGGGGGGGTCACATGAGAGTCGTGAGCTGAGTCGTTGATTGCCTAGAGTAGTAAACATCCTAGATCATCTGTGGGACGTTAGGGTCACATGCTCCAAGGTAGCGCCGGGGCTTCAGTGGAGAGAATTCACAACAGCGTTGTAGGTTGATGATAGACGGTGTCTCAGACCAGAGGCCGACCGGAGCGCCTTGTTCCTCTGATGAGGCCTTTGTTTGGCATCACAGAGGCGGCTGTTCAGTGTAACGCTGGATTCCAGGCATGCTGGGACAGGATGGCCCGCTCTGTTTTCTGCCTTTCTCTCGTTTCCTGTCAGCTCTCTCTCTCATATTTTCTCTCTCTCTCTGTCAGCTGAGCGAGGTGTTGACGTACACCTTTGTGACCTCTTCTACTTAACCCTTGTCCTGTTTGTCAGGCTGAGCTGAGAGCCGTTGCGTAAATCTGCTGTGGGATGTAAGGACGGTGTTAAAAGCCTTGGCACCAGTTTTTGTCTTTTGAAGATTTAAAACAGAAGCAAGGAAGTTTCAGGGTTTTATTATGCTGTTGAGTAAACAGGCAGTGGTTTAAATGAGAGTATAGAGCTACACTAAAAAATGAAAATCAACTAAATATATACATAATAACCGATAAGACCCACAGATTTCAGCAGGCACACAGTCTCTTATTGTACTTCATTCCTCACAACTGTTCTCCCATCAGATCACACAGAAGACTAATTGTATGCTCAATAAAATCAGCATGCTACTGGTTTCAGCCAATTAAAGCTTTCAATTTAATCTGGGATTGGTCCTAATTAACGTTTCTTGTGATCCTGATGAGATGAAAGTATTCTTAAACTGCCTGAGCTGGTGACTTTTTGGATGGTATACAGACGTGTATTTATGTGTCTGTAGGAGCTATTTATTTGTGCCACTACAGTCTCCTTGTAAACTGTTCTGATTTTTTCTCCTCTGTGTTCATCAGCTTGATCTGCAGATGCAAGAAGCTGAGGATGAGGTGAAGGTGAGCTGGGGAGTGTCTCACCAAGAGGCAGGAGAGCTGCGAGTCACGCCCAATTTCCCACAGGTAAATGTAGGACCTCAGATAATGTCATTGACTAGAGGTGGGGAAAAAAAATCGAAGTACAGTATGTAAAAATGAAGATTTTTCTCTTCTAAGATTTAAAATCGGGTTCCAAAAATCGATTTACAAAAAACAAAACTTTTTGTTTTTTGGGGCTAATCAGTCACTTCTGCTAAATAGACAAATAGAGCAACAAGAAATTCAGCCAGTCTCCAGATGACTGGAGTAGATCCTGATGTACCAATTCAAAAATAGACTTTGAATCCAGAATCATTCTGAAACGAAAATCGATTCTGAATTGAATCGTGACTCCAAGAGTCGAAATCAAATCAAATCATGAGACACCCAAAGATTCCCAGCCATATCTTTCACCTGCTGTCTGTTTAAATGCACCTTCAGCTAAGATTTCAAGAAGTAACAGTTCAGTTAATGATCAGTACAACATTAACATTTAAGTTGAGGTGCACATTGTTTCTTTTAACCTACAGACAAAAGGGTCTTTTTTTGTTGAATCCAATAAATAAGGTTGATATATGTTGATGATTTTCCTCTCTGTCAGGACAATGCAAACACGGTCAGTGTAGCGGCAGTAAAGGAGCAGTTGAAGCAGCTGCTGTGTGCGACGCGTCCCTCTGTGCTGCTGAGCTGCAGGCCTGCTCAGGCCTCAGAGGTCCAGGTGAGTGCATGACTCATTTCTGATGTATGACATCTTCACTGCTGCAACACAAGAACGCCACGCAGACAAGTGTGTGCAAGTCCATCATGTCAAGTCACGAAATGAAAACTGAACAGATAGACCTTAAAGTAGCCTATTCTGTATCAGTTTCATTTTTACTTGTTCCCCTTATGTTAATGTTCAAACTTTCCAAGTCAATGAGTCAACATTTCAACACATTCTTTTGCACACACTTACTAAACCTGACCACATTCTCGTACCGTTTGGAGTGTCCCATCAGTTTTATTTAAAGTTTCAACCACAACTGCTATGCTAGGCTCTTATCATGGCAAAGTAACTTATTGTTAAGATCACATATTCTCCTCCTCTTCAACCAGTTTGAATAAGTCTCAGAGCTCTTCAAAACATGTCTGTGAAGTGTCTTGTTCTAAATCCACTCTGATCCTGTATTTGATCATGTCCATAAACCCCTCTATTTCAGCCCTGCTAAGAACAGGCTGTTTCTGTGTCTGTACCTTTAAATATGTAAATGAGCTGTGTCTGACCACGCCCCCTCTCTGGAAGGACTTGGGTGTCTCGGGCTTTCTCGCTCCATGTCCTATTGTTTAGCCTTGACATAATGACATTGATAGCCTCCTCCGGCTGTTTTGAGCTCACTTGTAAACAAAGCAAAGCAGTAAGCTGCTGTCTAAATTGAGTGAATGTTAGACTAAATTCTGATGTTAAGTTCTTGATGTGTAAATAAACAGCTGTTTGCTAAAAGTTCCCTTTGAAAATGTAAAAGGTCTTTCGGACTTTACGTCTATGCCGTGTTCAAAACAGTTTTTGACTGCCCCCTAGTGGCAAATAAATCAGATTTTGCAGGTTGAATCGGTTCTTTCATATCTCAGCCTTTAAAGAGCATTATGGGTAATTCTGTCTCAAGGGTTATTGTCCTCATGTTTGACTTTGTGATCGACTGTGTCGCTGTGAAATATGAATCAACTTGAGCGTGTAATCCTGCTCACCGCACAGTTTACTAAAGTCTAACTGATGTATAAAGGCTTTATTATGCTGATGTGCTTTTACAGACATGATTTCACTGAGGCGCCCTTTACCCAGACATCACGCCATGTCATGTGTTTTTTATCTGATAATAATGTCGTCACATTTTTAGTAAAGTGTCGTTTGGATCCTGGGAGTTAAAGACAGAGTCAGTAGCTCTTTCCTAAAAAGTAAAAATACAGAATGATACAAAAGTAATGCCACTCACTCATCACTTCTGAGGCTCCATACGAGTGTGGTGGTGACTGTGTCTGCAGAGACCCTGTCCTCTAACTGGATTTTCATGTTTTGTCTTTATTGACTCGTGCCGTTTGGAGCGGGGGTGTTTCCCTCAGCCAATGACAGCACACAGGTGTGTTTAGACGTGGATACAAATCAGTGACTGGACAAAATTCAAACCAGCAAAGAAGAGAAAATATAGTCACAGTGAGGCGAAATGACAAAGCAGACAAAGTTCATTTGAACCTTCGGTTGGCTTTCACTCGCGGGCTTGGAGTTGGTCTGCTTTGGGTTGGACAGACAGGTGTCAAACACCGGCGGTTAGCTTGTGCTAACTTGCTAAGTTATCACTTTTACATTAAAACAAATATAATATTCTCAGGTAGCCTTCAGTGTAGGTACCAGCAGTGAACGTAGAGCCTGCAATGAGTGTGTGTTTCTGTTTTTGATGACCCCGGGAGGAGAGGCCTAGTTTGAATGTTGTGTTTACAAGCTGAAACCGATAATGCTACTGACTCCTCCTTTAAAGCCCTGCAGGAAACATGACAAGTTCTGTTGAGTGCATTGTCAATACATCCCTCCTAAAATGTTTACCAGACTTTAGGCTTGACCGTCCCTCCCACTGAGACACAACAGAGTCTCAGGTTTCAACTAATTCTATTCTTTATTAAATTATAGATTATTTCCTGACTGACCAAAAGTGATCTCTTGAAATGTTTTGAATTTTCCTTCATCTCAGGAAATGTTTAATGATTGGCCGTCCATTTACTTATCATCTAATAGTTACATCAGCAGCTGAGATTACCCCACTGTCACCTCAATCCCTGTAATTACAAGGTTGAAAATAATCAGGCCGATCGGTCTTCAGGTTTATTAACAGTGAAGTCCGAATGTGGGAGCCTTTCCGTACTATTAATACCAGTAAGCCTTCAGGTCAAACCTGGCCTCTTATTACCAGGAAATCAATCCCAGCTTTTTATCTGGACCTTCAAAGTAAAACAGATGACTTGTAATGCAAATTCAGCTGAGTGATAACGAGAACCACATGCAAATCACAGGGAGGCTCACCGTCTGTCCCCGGGGATGGTTTCATAGCACCTTACTTTCACGTACCTAGGGTTAATAATATGTTTCATCACACAGAATATTATGGATAACACAGTTTAATTCCCCTCTACATTGTCCCCCATCAGCATGACCCTTTTGTAAACAATGCTATTCCAACATGCAAAGTATGTTTAGATTTCTTTCTGGGTTTATCACAAATTATAACACCAACATAAACTATAAAAACAACAACATGGAAACATATACTTACAAAAATGACAATTAGAATAGGAAAAACAAAACCTCACCATTACCATTAAAACACTGTCAGTAACTTCTGAATGTAAATAAATGATCTGACTGATTGATGGTTTGTACGGTCATGTCTTTGCATTGTGTCCCCTCTTTCAGAAAAAGTTGGAACAGGGTACTTTGTTTACATTTTTGCTGTTAATGTTGCACCCAACAGATCAACATTCATTTACTTTTACTTTCTTTTTTTTCAACAGGCAGCGCACAACAACGTGGTTTCACCCCCCAAACCCCCCCGCGCCCACGACTGGAAGCTGCTGGTGAAGAACATCAGGGTGACACTGAATCAGGAGGACGATGCTGCAGGTTGGACTCTGACATTTAGAGTCACTAAAGTTCTTATGAAACAGATTTAACCAACGTCTTACATGTGTTTGTTTGTTTAACTCTAAAACCTGACCTCACTCACAAGTCGTCAGTTCCCATCATCACAGATATTGCTTCTTTAAAATAATAGGAGAAATACAGTATATGTAACTCTGACACCTAGAGTTTAAAATGGGTACTACAGTCAGAATTCAAAATATTGTAGAGAGCTGTCTCTTCCCCCCCTGCTCTCCTCCTCTCTAGAGTCGATGCTCATGCAGGTTGCCATGTGGTGAACACTGAAGCTTCAGTGTTTAGCCAGCTCTGTAGCTCTTCAGTAACTCATCTTCTTCCAGAAGATTATCGAGTACAGAAGGCGACTTTAAAGCAAAAGTAAAGAGTTTCTATTTTGATGTTTTCTGAACCAAAGAGAATTAATTAGCTGAGTGATTTCCATGTTTCTAAACTCCACCCATAACCCTATTCCAAAAAAATCACATCACCTGAGGTCCAGAACAGTTGTCTGAGGTTACTTTTATTCCAATAGGATTAATTTTTTGTTCAATTCAAAAGATCTTTTTCTCAGACTTTTGGGACTCATCTCAAATAACTGACATAAATTCTGTCTTATCTGATCAACTTTAAGTTTATTAGTTTTTCCTCATATCCCTTCTATATGTATTGCTTTAGAGACTCCCTCGGCCTCTCCTTTGTCTGCTTTGTCTTCTTTTGTCCAGAGACTGTGCTGATAGAAAGGCTGCTTGTTTGCCAGTTGGCTGTTCAAGGTGCTAATCTGTTGGTCAAAGCTGAACAACGTTGGCAGTGCAGTCGTAGAACACCCACATGAGTATCGCTACACCACTCGCACATTAGTGAGATTCCCCTATGTTGAGAGTGAAAACAAATCACCAGGGTGTTGTCAGACATGAAACTTGTGTTGATGATTTCCTGTTAAACATGCTGACAAGTGATGAAGTCTCTGATCTTCTTCAACTACTGTGTTTGGTTAATGTCAGCGTTGAGTCATTCTCTAGTTGTGACGCGTCTGTTCTCAGGACTCCAGACATCCTCTTTAAGTACCCTGCACAACACTTGATATGGTTCAGCAGAGACATGACACAGCGTTCAACACTTTAATATCTGTTTTCCTTCCTTCAAGTGGAGAACAGTTATACTTAGCTGAGTTTCACTTGTGAGACTTCCTGTGAGCGCCAGAAGCCAGAGCTGATGCAGCGATGATCCCTCTTTAAAAATATTACAATACTGATTTTAAAAATGGAGGAACTCATACGTCTATGTTTTGATCAAGTTAGTTATTTTATTGACTTTTTTTTAAACTGAAACTGTATTTATTTAGAACCTTTTCAAACAAAGTCACAAACTGCATCACAACAACAAATACAACAGAAGTGGATACATTGACAAGATAAAGGCATTAAAAGAACTTTCTGGCAAGACAAAACTGAAATAGAGCAATATGTAACTCTGACACCTAGTGTTTAAAATGGGTGCTGCAGTCCAAATTCGAAACATTGTAGAGAGCTGTTTGCCACCGCCCACTCCCCCATAGAGTCGAAGGTCACACAGGTCACCATGTGGTGGACACAGAAGCTTCAGTGTTTATCCAGCTCTGCATCAGTCTGTAAACCTTTCTGTGTTCTAACCTCTCTCCATTTTTCAAAAGCATCTCCAACATTGATCCTAGTTTGAGCACGTTTCTGCTCGTGGAGCTTATTAGAAACATGCAGAGGCTTTTTACGGTACAATCACTTCTATCTGAACTTAGAGATGCACCGATCCACTTTTTATCAGTTCCGACCCGATTCCAATACATGTACATGTACCATTACGGATAATGATTCTGATATTTTTACATCATAACTAATAATGTTATTGTTGTTGTTGGTATCATGTGTAAGGCTACACAAAGCTGTAGTAAACCAGGCATTGCATTGTGCTGGCTTCACAAACAAACAGTAAGCAGCAACAACTGTCATGTTTTCAAATTAAAAGTTTGTAAGAAATGTACTTTTGATCATATAGAAGGAGCTGTTTTATCTCATCTTAATGTCGTCATGGAGACAATTTCTGGGCACTTCTTACAGTTCAGTCTGAACGTCTTCAAAGTGAATCACTTTGGCCTTTTAAAGTAATATTTTAGACCGTAAAACCATTACTCAAGCGCAGAATTAGCCAGTGTAATTAATCATGAAAGAATGAAGATTCAAATATGTCGTCAGCCATTTTTGCACCAATATGACTACCTCAAGTTAATCAGAAGGCTACTTTTACATTATTGCATGTATTATACCTTTATAAATCAACATATAAGTCTGATAGCTGGCTCTGGCTCTAGTCTTTAAGCTTCCTGCTGATGTAGTAATCACTAAGACGAGGTGCTTTCACAGCAGTAGAGTCTGGCTCGGGGCTCCATAAGACCGGATTTATCTCTTGTGCTGAGGAAGAGCTCTCACCCGTTACTTTAGGAGTGTCCTCTAACCTCTGCATAATTCATCATTCCTACAGCGTAAGCTAAACCTCCTCTTTGGCCACTACACTGAAGCAGTTGAATTGACCGAGCATAATTAACCTTGCAGCAGTAGATTAGATTTTTGTGTCTCTGACAGTGTTTGTGCTGTGTTTGCAGGCAGCATGAATCCTCTTTGTGTACTGAAGTTAGATGATCCTCCACAGAAGTTTAACACCTCAGTTTTAAAGAACACAACCAATCCTGCCTGGGACCAGCCCTTTATCTTGTAAGTGTTTACTTCAGAGATGTGTATGGTTATTTATCTGTGTGTCATCCACAGCTATAATACATGCTCTCTCTTTGTCCTGAAAATTATTCAAATTTTTTTTGTCTCACCAGTGAATTAAATGGACTTTCAAAAGAGCTCAATATTCAGCTGATGAATGATGGACAACCTCAAGAGAGTAAGGAAACCGCTTGCTTATTTTGATCTCTAGCTGTGCGGCCACATGATGATGTGATCGTGAGTGTTTTCTCCTCTTTCAGATTCCTTACTTGGTCAGGTGTCGGTGCCTTTCGATCTCGTAAAGAAGCATCCCAAAGGACAGCAAACATTTGCACTCATGACCAAAGACACAGTGACTGGATCACTTACTACTGACGTAAGGATTGTTACCTTAGCATCAACAGATCAAGTCTAATTCTTCTCATGTATATACGACCAGTGTATAATATTAAGTGATTTGTGTCCTTCAGTTTACCTTCCTGGAGCCCAGTGAGGTGAGGTCCTGGCACCCTCCTACCCCCGCCTCCAATAAGAGGGTGGAGATGGATCGTACCGTCATGCCCTGCGGCACCGTGGTCACCACCATCACCGCGGTGAAGAGCAAGCCCGGTCGCCCGCTCCCTCCAGGCCTAACCATAGGTACAGCCACTCAAACTAGTGATGTAAAAGAAGGACACTGCTGCATCTTTGAATGTCTCATTTCACTTTAACAAACTCTCAGACAGCTCAGCTGACGAGTCCAAAGTAATATCCACCTTATGACATCACACATTTACCTCTGAGCTGTTTGACTTTAGTTTGTGATCCCTAACCACTTCCTGTTTCTGTGCTTAAGCTATTGTTTAACCTACTATCTACCAGAAGTTCCTTACTTTTTTTCAAAATAAAAGCAGGGTTAAATTAAAAACAGCAAGTAAAGTACTCTCAGTTTAAGACTGTACAAAAATTCAAACTAAAAGCCCAACTATTATTTTTAAATGTGAAATAATGAAATTTAGAATTTATTGCAATGAACTATGGAAATTCCCCAATTATTTTTTAAATAAAAAAATGTAAAGGTTTGACGGCCCTAGTTAAAATGGTGTACTGGACTCATTTCAGCTTTAAGTCTAGAGATGAAAACACATGAAACTTTGAATTAAAATGACATGAGTGAAACTTGTAAAAATACTTTTTAAACTGAACACAACAAAAGTAAATGACACATCAGATGTTTAATTAATCAAACGTTAAATTAATGGAAGAATGTATTATATGTTGATGGCTCTTCTTCGTGGAAAACATTTTGACACAGGTTAAAAAAAACAAACGTGGATGCAGGTTTGATTCTGTTCAGCTCCTTTGGTTTTAAGCTCCTTGTATTTTATAAGGACAGTTAAATAGAAATGATCCATCAGCCATGTTAAGAGTAGGGCTGCATGTTGTCAGTCATACACATGTTTGTCATATTCTAACAACTGATATTTTGAACTTCCATATTACCTGTTAAGAAGTTAATTCAGGAAACTTTGTTCTCCCTCAGATCCTGCCGTTAAATCTGCGTCCATCAAGCCCAAGCTGTCGGGTCGTCGAGTGTCAGAGCAGCCGTGTGTGCTGGGGCTCACGGTCAATAAGGCTCTGTCCTCTTCTGATACTGAGCTGCTGATGCTCAACGGCACCGACCCGGTGGCCGAGGCGGCCATCAGACAACTGCACCAGTCTGCCAAACAGAAGCTCAAATCACCGGTGAAAAAGAGTACCATCATCATCTCTGGCATTGCAAAGGTAAGGAGGTGGCTCACGAAGGAACTGGTCACTGAGACACAGTACGGTTTAATTTGTATCTCTGTTTAACCAGATGAAACAATCACTGTACAAGGAATTGATTTAAAAAATTGGACTTCCCAGACACCATTGTCTCAGGACGATGAGCTCGCTCTGATGGCGGGCTACGCTGCAGCGATGGACGCCTCGATGTCAGAGGGCAGCTCCACTCAGGATGTAACCACGGCGATAGCGACGGGGGCCAGCAGCCCTCCAGATGAGTCTGAGCCCCAGGAGGGCCCCAGTGGAATCGGCCGGCCTCCAGACGACTGGGAGAGCCAAACCGGGGAGACTCTTGACCATACCTCGCTGTCCATGTGTGTGTCTGAGGCCAGCTGCAAGAAGACCCGAGGTGAGTGCTCACGGGGCGGAGTTACTAACCACCTGAAGCCACAAGTACCTGTGGATAACAATGTTTTATTTCATAAAGCTACGCTTTAAATGCTCCCACAACACATTGTCTCAAAGGCAGAACTTGATACGTTTTCTTCTTCTGGATGTTTGAATTGTAACCTGTTGCTCCTTCGTCTGTTTTCTTTTCTCTTTGTTTGAACTTTCTCTTTGTGAACATCACTGCCATCTTAGAGGAAAGCAGTGATAAGCTCACATTAAGTCCAGAAGAGTAAGTCATTACCTTGTCCTCTATGTGTAGTCTCCTGTAGCTATCAGTAGACTAGATAACAAGTGGAAGTTGTTTAGATATTAGCACATCATGTAGTAGTTATATTTTAAAACATTTACAAGAACTCAGGGTTTTACAAAACATTTAAGTACCTGCAATATAATAAACTGACTAGTAGGACATTTTATGCACTTTGAACAGATTACATTTTATAGGGCTTTCACACTCGCAGAAAACTCCAGAAAAACTCCTGATACTTCCAGGAGGAGCTGCATGTGTGAACGCAAACAGACAGACTTTTCACTCAGACTTCACCCGGAGTTCCTCCTGCCTACCCTTTAGTATTTTTTTCTGCATTAAGTCCAAGTGAGCTGACATAAGAACGCAGCAGGATATCATAGTGAGAGGTGGGAGTGACGTTTGTATCCTGTGACTGCTGCACGGTGCACAGACTGTCTGCACGCCACTGCTACGATAATTAAACGGCTGCGTTGTGTTTTCTGTTCTCCAGTTTGTTCTCCTCTGCTCCTTTGCTCACATTGTTGTTCCATTGAACTACACGTAGCATTGACATAAAGTCAACTTTCTCATTATAGCATCATATACCAGAATCTGTTGCTTCAGCGCTACTTCCACTTTGTTTCTTTTACGTCACGTCTTCTTAAGGAGACCCCCCCTTCCCCCATCACATCAGTGTCACTTTACACATTATGCTCTTTAAATTCAGGGGCTGCAAGCCCAAAATATCTGATGTTTTCCTCCTTTAATGTGATCAAAACAGTATGATGCCATCAACTGATACAGCCGTTACAAAGGGAAGATTAATACTCAATCAGTCAATTTTCTTTTGTATAGTGCCAATTCATAACAAATCTTATCTCAAGTAACTTTACCAACTGAGCCACAGCCACCCCGTAAGGTCTTTTGTAGAGGTGGTCTTCTTACAACTGGAGGGTTGGTGGTTCGGTCCCCAGCTCCTGCAGCCACATGTCTGATGTGTCCTTGGGCAAGACACTTAACACCAAGTTGCTCCCGTGTATGAATGTGATTAGTAACTTCTGATGGTGACTTTACAGAGCAGCTTCTGCAGCGTGTGAATGTGAAGGTGTGACCTGCGGTGTGAAAGCACTTTACAATCTCAAGTTCATTTACCATGTACATACTTTTTGTAATATGTTACAAAAGAGCAGGTAAAGACCTTACTCTTTGTTATACAATCTACAAAGACCCAACGTTAATCCATCATTAGCACTTTAGCAAAGTTGCAGCAGCAAGGCTCGAGCAAAACCAATCTAAAGTGAGATCGCTATAATATTTTCCTCCAACACTTCCTGTCCTTTTTTCACGATCAATAACCAACAATTTGCATTCTACACAATTTCTGTGCCATAGCTGCTTCAGCTGTTTTTAACCCGCTGCTACTTCAGAAACTGATATGAGTGAATGTTGCCAGAAGTCTTATTTGAAGTCATCACTCTCAATATTTACTGTAAACTCTCTTACAGGCAGCTTCCTGCAGAAGAGTGCCAAGCTCTTCTTCCGGCGGCGTCACCAGCGCAAGGAGCCGGGGATGAGCCAGTCGCACAACGACCTGGTCTACCTGGAGTCTCCGGCTGCGGTGGAGCGAGCCAGCCGAACAGCCACGATCAGCCGCATGCTCAGCCGCAAGAGCAAGAACAAGAGCAAAGCTAACGGCTCTACCTCCACGGGGGAACCACACGAGTGAACCCTACCCTGCTCACCCATCAGTCCCTCCTACAGCAGCTACCACCTCCACCTCAAACATGCACTGGCAAACCTCCTGGCTCACCTGCTCCCCCTACTGGCCGGCCTGCATACTGCGGCTCATGCATTGTGAATGGGAAAGCTTTGCAGACGTAAAAAAATAAATCCTCTTTTACTGCCGTTTCCTTCCACTACAAAGGAAGTGTGTGCATGTGTAGATGAAGGTCTCCACTCTTGGATTAATGGCTTCCAGAGGATATTATATAGCATGTTTGTTTTATTTGATTTTATGCAATGTTTTGAACTTTTTATTTTTATTTTATTTTTTTAATCGCTTTGTGGCCTTGTTACCGACAGAAGAGACTGCCGGTGTGGGCTGTAACTCTTTACCTCACTGAGTGTGACGAGGAAACTCTCCCTGCTGTAAACCGTACGTTTCCTTACGGTGGACTGACAGGACCAAAGATGAAGAGAAGAGTGGTGTTTGTATGATTTGCACACTTGTAGTACCTTTAATTTAAAGTGCAATGACAGGAGCTACTCATGTGATCGAGATTTAAAAAAAAAAAAAAACATTCACAAAGGGAGATGATCTTTTCACTCCAAGTGGGAGATAGTAACACGACTACTTTTTTTGACACTAATACTATGAAATATAGTATTTATATCCATTCATTTGAAATGCTTCTAATTGTATTCTAATTACGCCAGACATGAGAAACAGCTGTATGAAATGTGCATAAAATAGGGGAAACAGGAATAAAAACGTCAGCCTTATGTCTAACAAAGATTTCAGAAACGGTAGATTCTGATTGTCATGCAAACCCCCGCTACAAACTGAAGTTAACGACCACCCGAAAAGTAGGAGAGAAGTAGTGACACTGTGGCTAAAAGTTCAGCTATATGTGAGTGTTTTGTTTACTTCTCTGCAGTGTTTTTCAAAGATATGCAACCGTCTTCCTCGTCTTCCTTCCTGCACACTACTGTTATCAGCAGGGTTGTTAATGTGTCAAAAGGGAAATGAATGAAACTTTCTAATCCAGGGACTGTGACGTTACACTCAGCCATACTTGTCGCTTTACGCACTAATGAAATTTGTTCTGTATTCTTGTGTCAACCCTGCAACTCTCCAGTCTTTTTCTTAAAAGATGTAGCTTTGGACACATGAGCAAGAGAAAGTGTGAATGCATTTAGGAGTAAACAAATAACCCTGGCTGCTTTTTTTTTTATCCAGCTAATGATTGTATTTCCTTTTTTTTAAGCAGCTTGTTGCAGACATGTCTGTACATCATTTTAACTACTGTTTCTAAGAGAAATGATGCTTCACAGTGACGGACAGATCGCCTTACAGTCATTCTGAGGACGTCACCAGCTCTCTTCTTCCTTGACTTGATGTGACTTTTGGCCACTGTGTTCCTGCAACATCTGCATAAGACCATAATCTAGAAGCCTATGCACATAACATATCTGATAACAGAGTGTTTACATTGTGAGACTATCAGAAATAAAAATAAAAAAACACTCACTTGCTGTTCATGGCCGCGCTCTCATGCACCATCATTGTCTGTTTTAAGAGCATATTCACACCAGGAAGAAGAATTCTGTCACCATCCAAACCCTGAGAGAAGGAGGGAAACACGAGTTGTTTTAAATATTCTCAGCGTCAGATTGTTGCTCATGAAATGAAGCCTGCAGGCATCAGGCATACTGAATGCCTTCAGTAAGCAGTAGGGCTCTATGTGATTAATAAACTGCTTCCTGATGTGTTTTTATTAGCATCTGCTCTGTGTGCAGACACATTTGTTGCAGGAAGTCGGTCATTTTCCCTACAGGGATTGTAACTAATCTGCATATATTATTTCATTTCCAGTAATAAACTATTGATTGAGTAACAGAGATTGTGGTGCCACTCTAAATATCCACGCTATAGTAAACTCTTCCGGGTGATCCTTTAACTCCATGTGCTGTTTCACTGCTTTTATTTTACACTTGTATTTTACACTATTTTACAGATTGTATTCTGATGCACGGTTGGTTCACATTATAGCATTATTCTGTCTTTGTTTGACAGATGTTGAAGTTCATCTTTATTTTTCTTGACTTGTTGCTTTTTCTCCCCATGTTTGATCCGCAAACTGTTTCAACACTAAATGCATCAGGCCTCTAACCTGCCTTTATTTGTCACTACATATGGCAACATCAGGCCAGTAACAGGGAATGGGGCTCTTAAAGGTCACATATTGTCCAAAATCCACTTAAACATTTGTTCGTAACACTAACGTGTCCCTGGTCTGTCTACAAACCCCCCAATGATGAGAAAAGTCCATCCTCTCCGTCTTTCCCCTGCTCCACTTTTCAGAAAATGTGTGCTCAAACAGGCCGTTTGGAGATTTTCCCTTCATGACATCACAAAGGGCAGTAACCCCTCCCCCAGGAGGGTGACACTCCTACAGCTAGGTGTTTGTTCTGCCTTCTGAGTCTGCCTCCTCACCGTAAACAATAGAGCGAGAAAGGTACAGACACAGAAACAGCCTGTTCTGAGCAGGGCTGAAATAGAGGGGTTTATAGACATGATCAAATACAGGATCAGAGTGGATTTAGAACAAGACACTTCACAGACATGTTTTGTGGAGCTCTGAGACTTATTTAAACTGGTTGAGATTTTACGTTGTATCCGCTTCTAGCATTATTGTGCATTGTCCACGTAATTCAGTATCTGTGTTATGAAATATTTAACTCTGAATTTCAATTCTCTTCTGGTTTGTTTCAGCATGCTTTTATTTTATTTAGCATTAGAACTGTTTTCTTAAAAGTTTATCTGAATGGAATTAAGTGGATATATTTTCAATGCCCCGTTTTTAGGACCGGATTACTAAGAAAGAGACTTATATAAATGGGAATTCAGTTTAAACTTTAAAATGCTCAGTCACTGATTATTAACTAAGTAAATGATTACACTGTGAAAGGGGCCTTACTTATATAAATTCTGCAGATATTTTTTTCTGCTCTGTTACTTTTACATTTAGTAAAATCTGTAGACTTCATGAATAAGTAGGTGTTACGTGGATAAGCCAAATGAGTAGCCTACTACTAATTCTGTATTCTACTTAAATAAGTAACGTTTAAACGTTTAGACATTTTTGTAGTAATTACCTTGAAACAATAAGGAGACGTTAATGATGTTAATTTTGGTATATCTAACTTCAGTGCAGCGTTTAATTGTCTAATTATTGCCTGGTAAGGCCATATTTGAGCCATTCCAACGACGCCTACATTTCCCATAATGCACTTGGCTTGGTTCGTTTCCGGTCCTGCGCCGTTTCTGGAGCGGATTGGAACCCGGAGTCAGGATTCGATAAATGAAGGGTCTTTTGCAGAAAAGGTAACGTGTTTTCCTTCTACTGTACGTCGCTTATCGACTAAATAGCGACGCAGTTTTGTAGCGAAAGTGCAGACGGTTGGTCCGGGACACTCCGGGGTTTCCTGAGCCGCCTCCCAGGCCGACTGCGAGGCGTTCAAGAGCGTCGACTCCGGTTTGGTGGTTAGCGTCTCCGGTCCATCCGCCATGCCGACTGTTCTTTGTTACATTGTACAGAAGAGGAGCCGCTCAGATCGGAGTTAAAACCCGGCTGGAGTTTGGGAGCGACTCAAATCCTGGATCCCTTTTCCTGCCCGGACTGCATTTGATAATATGCACGTCCACATTGTATCTTTTACACCAGAAACCAGTTATTGTTGTTATAAAACACTGCTGTGTTGATCCCGGAGGTCTGATGCATTCAGGGAACCTGGACTGTCCCGGGTTAACTGTGAAGATACAGCCTCTGAAGTTCAGTCACACGCAAACACACTCTTACAAGTAGTTCCTTTGTAAAAATGCACATTTCTGTAATGTATTATCACTGCATAACACATGTTACTAACTTACAACATAACAGTGTTGCTAAGCAACCACAATGATATGCTGTGAGAATATTACACTTACCTTTCCCTCCATGTTTTAGGTTGTCATAATGGCTGAGCAGACATCAGATGAGCTGATCTGTGAGTATGGATTTAGCTCTGTCTGTAAGTTTCTGACACATCGTGTGGGGGGGGGGGGGGCTTTGTTTTGTTGACAGGTGTGCTGTGTGTGTGTGTTTCAGGGTGTGAGGACTGTGGGCAGTACCATGACTCTGAGTGTCCTGAACTGGGACCACTGGTGACCGTCCAGGACTCCTTCGTCCTCAGCCGGGCCAGGTGAATGAAAAGTCATGGTGCAGTCTGAACTTCACTCAAAGTAGTCTTTTTATTCATCTGTTTTCGAGCCCGGACAATATTAAATATATGCCTCTGACAAATATGTATCAGAGTACATGATTTCTGATAAGCGCTTGTTATTACATTTCTAATAGAACATATATCTCAGGAGTGATTTAAAAACAGTGTGATCACACAGTATGTCTAACAGAGCACACCACAGTGACACCATGGTTTACATTACCCTCAGCCACCCTCAGCACATGTTGCTGAACATCTCACCTAATTGTCACCACAAAAATGATCGACAGTGTGTAATAATTTGTGACACACCGTCGACCACTTCTTACTTTATAGTGAATTATTATAATGTTACATATTGTAGAGATGATCTGAAATGATTGTTTTCATTTTACAATAACATTGTGTCACACAAAGTTCAATAGGAAAGAACGCCATATTAAATAATTGATAATATTGATAATATTGGTTATTATTAGAGACAAATAAGGACGACAAGTTTGACAAAGGTACAGCCACCTGAACTTTAGATTTAAAAGTAAACTCTTTAAGATTGTATCAACAGCAGGGGAAATAGTGGGCAAACCACAGAAACCTGTCTCAACTATTCACTGATAGGATAAGGAAGTATGCGAGGAGTCTCCTAGAAGATAATTCCCAGTCCTCTGGGTTAGGGTTAGGGCAACTTTAAAAGTATCTAAGAAGTAATTTATTCCAAGTGAGATAAGCATTCTTAACCTTACAAAATGTCTGATGAGATCTAAACAATGGCATGATGTTTTTAAAGTAGCAGTATGTAACTCTGACACCTAGTGTTTAAAATGTGTACTGCAGTCCAAATTCAAAACATTGCAAAGAGCTGTCTCCCCCCGCCCCCTCCTCTCTAGAGTCGATGCTCACGCAGGTTGCCATGTGGTGAACACTGAAGCTTCAGTGTTTATCCAGCTCTGCATCAGTCTGTAAACCTTTCTGTGTTCTAACCTCTCTCCATTTTTCAAAATCATCTCCAATATTGATCCTAGTTTGAGCACGTTTCTGCTCGTGGAGCTTATTAGAAACACACAGAGGCTTTTTAGGTCGAGTACAATCACTTCTATCTGAACCACTTCTCTTGCCCTCTTCCATCACTGCAACACCTGTTGGTTTGACCTGATAACTGCTCTCATATCTGACAAACCGAGGGGCGTCCAAAACGGCCGTGTGGGGGTGTCTTAAAACCGCCTACCTTCTCTGGTCCAAACAAATCCAGAGCATTCAGGACCAGAATCTAAAGTTAGAAGGAGGACATACTGGCTGCTGCATTGTTGTCAGAGAAGCCAGCACTTCAACATAGCATGTTTCCTTAATGTCTGATCATACAGTAAGATACCTTTATCATTTAATTCAGCAGAGATCTTACATATCTCTGCTCTGTTTTTAGATCGTATTGCCCTCCTGAATGTTTTTATACTACTATATGTATCTGGAGAGCTAAAGGCAAATGTGCACCCGTGGTGGACAATAAAGTTTTGTTTTCGTCTACATAAAAAAACAGAGCTACATGTGCGGTACTAGAGAGCACTGTAGCGACTCGCAAGGCTCCCATCTTCATTTTGGGCCAATCATAAAAATAATAAAAGTGGACCATCTGTATCTGATAGGTTAAAAATATCATGAGTCATGAATTACCTGACAGACTTCCACAATGGTAACACTTGTGCATCACAGGATGAAGATCAATGATCAAAGTCTTTGTTGTATATAAATTTAAAATCCTTATTCCTCTGTTTCAGGTCGTCTTTACCAAACAGCCTGGAGATCAGACAGGCGGCTGATGGAGGGGAGGGGGTGTTTGTCATGCGCCGGCTGGTCAAGAGGACCCGGTTCGGCCCGTTTGAGGCGAAGAGGGTCCCCCACCTGGAGAGAGAGGGAGCGTTTCCTCTAAAGGTGCAGACTTAAGAATCCTGATAAGACACTGTTGAAGCTGTATTCTGTTTTTTTTTTTTAAAAGGCTCGTTGTGTTTTACTTCCTCTGTTGATCCTTCAACACTCAGATCTTCCAAAAGGATGGGCTGGTGGTTTGTTTTGACTCCAGCAGTGAAGAAGACTGTAACTGGATGATGCTGGTGCGACCTGCCAGAGACCACAAACACCAGAATCTGACGGCCTACCAGCAGGACGATGACGTGTACTTCAACACCTCACAGGTACGGCCAACTGTCGTAAATGTGACGCTGTCAGAGCTGCTGATGATGGCCTGGAACGAAATGGACTCATTTTGTCATTCAGCTCGTTCCTCATTTTATGGAAGCTATTTATTTTACATTAAAACATATCAGTAAATAAAGTAAGTAAAGTGTGTTTTCAGCCTGGCTCGTCTTGAGTCTTTCCTCAATAATATTACTTATATACAATAATTATTTACATTTAAACATAGGAAGCATTCCTCTTACATGCTACAAAGGATATTCAAAAATAAAGTAATTACCGTAAAATCTGGTGTATAAGAGGCACTTAAATTACTTATTTTTCATCCAAAAAGTTGGCTGCGTCCTGTACACTGGAGCGACCAATATACAAGTGTAAAAAGCTGACACACGTGCAGTCACCATCATCCACTGTCGCTCCCATTCATTGTGTATTACAAGCTGAACT